TAGAGACTAGTGACTGGCCTTGTGAAGGGACTAGTGACTGGCCTTGTGAAGGGACTAGTGACTGGCCTTGTGAAGAGACTAGTGAAAGAATCTCTGATAGACTCGAATACAACACTGCATTAAATTCAAGGTTACCAAATATAACTTTATGTATCGGTACATATGTACATTGACACGAGCTGAACTGGTAGTCTTCCGGTGTGGACACAGCAGTCATGCTTTAGTGATTTTTCCATTCTGAAAAGTTCTGTTCGTGAAGCGGCTGGCATGTGTGTCATTAGCTACTGTACTTGTTTAACTGTGCGTTTCCCAGTGAATAAAGGTTAAAGATGCATTAACGCGTCCTTAGAGAGCAAAATCTTTGTATCACTGGGATAGGCACAAGGAAACCTTTTGTACCTAAATAAGATAACAAAAATAGCCTCTGAGATGCCATGGAGATGCTATCAACGCGTAACTTTTGTAGGAATTATGTTAACTTTTTTTTGTTTGCCAACAGCAAAAGGGCTACCCATTCAGGGGAACTTGGCCCACGTTCTGGAATCCTTTCATCAATCTTGATTTGAATCATGCCATCAGAGAGGTTGATCGGCTCGGAGACATGGTAAGCTGATGTTGATTCAGTGTTCGTGGAGGGTTGTTTTGTGGGTGTGGTTTGGGAAGGTGGATGCTGGGGGAAAGTTGTGGATTAGTTTGTTGATGGGAGTGTACATGTAGATGTACAGGCTCAGGTACACATGTGGTCTCTCATGGAAAAGTGATAATGGATGGGGCCCCCGGGTGCAGAGAAAGATGTGGATGAGAAGTTGATTATGGAAAACGTTGTGGATTAGAATTAGACTGTGGATAAGGTGTGGATGAGAATTGAGTTAGTTGTGGACAATGCTGTACTTGAGAATGGGATTGTGGATAACAATGAGGCAGGAACTGTGGATGCACATTTCAAGGTTGTGAATGGGGAGGATGTAGAATGCAAGTGAGGTCCATGTAGTGGATGGGAATATTAACAAGATGCTCTGCATTTTCAATCCAGACAGATACTGTATATTTATCTGTAAAATGTGTTCATGTAGATACCAGAAGTGGATTCCATTGTCAGCACAATTTATTGCGAGTACTCGAACCAATCTCTTTGTTGGTTGGACAGATACCAGTGGATGCACCTTGGGATGCACCCAATGCTGAAGAGTTAGACAGCATGACCATGAAGGAATGGATTGACAAAAATTGCTGGACAGAGTAAGTAACTTACATGTACACACTTCAGACAAATGGTGTAGATCCTATCATAACTACTAATCACTACATCATCACATCAACATCCAGGCTCATGTGTGGTGTGTCCTTATCTGAATTCTTCTTTTGCGACGTAAATTGTGAGTGGTAGCAAAGGCAGTCGGTGGTCTCCCAAGATGGTGCTGTACATGTAGGTGCCACGCCTGTACCGGTAGATGCTATGTAGGTGCTGCATATGTAAGTGCTGTACCTGCAAGCACTGCACATGTGGATGCTATACACTGTAGGTGCCACACCGGTAGGTGCTAAGCACACATGTAGGTGTTATAGGCCCCCTCACCGGTAGGTGCTAAGCACACGTGTAGGTGCTACGGTATACCTGTAGGTGCTACGGTATACCTGTAGGTGCTGCACCTGCAGGCATTATGCATACCTGTAGATGCTCATCTGTAGGTAGTGATGTCATTTGTCAAGCATCTGTTTAAAATTGGGACATGAACAATAGTGGTATATCGTTCCACTACATGTAGTTTTACATCATTCAGTAACTAGAGTCATGCCTCTCACACATACAATCTTGGTCCACTGCCAATAAACTCAAATTGAATAGCGACAAAACTGAAGTCATCCATATCACCTCTCAGTTTAAGCACCATACTCCAATTGAAAGTCTTCGCATCTCTGACTGCTGCATCAGACCTGTCACCTGCGCCCGTGACCTTGGAACCCTCATCACGTCAAACCTTCGAATGCAAAACTAGGGCAACAACATATGCCACTCTTCTTATCTAGCTCTCCACAAGATTGGACAAATTCGAAATTTCCTTGACAAACAAACGACGGAAAAGCTTGTCCATGCTTTTATCTCCTGCCGCCTTGATTTCTTCGACAGTCTACTACACTGTATCCCTGATTCTCAAACCTCGAAACTTCAGCGCATTCAGAATTCAGCCGCCAGACTTGTTACCCGTTCATCATCTAGGCAACATATAACTCCTATTCTTCGCAGCCTTCACTGGCTACCTGTCAATGAGCGAATCGTTTTCAAGATTCTATTCCTCACTCACAAATGCATCCATGGTTAAGCACCAGCATACCTCCGTGAACTTATTCAAATATACGAGCCACAACGCACCCTCCGTTCTAGTTCAACATTGCTGCTCAGTACACCTGTCACTCACACCTGGCACTAAGACTTATGGATATCGTTCATTCAAGTATGCATCACCATCGCTGTGGAACTCTCTCCCATACCATATCAGAACTGTCAAAAATGAAAACTAATTTAAGGCACTACTTAAAACTCACCTGTTTCATTAATTGCTTTATTTCATAATATTACTGTGAAGCGCATCGAGATGTGCAATGTGATGCGCCATACAAGAAATGTGTTATTATTATTATTTTAAACTCAGAATCTAACACCTTTGGTTTGTTTGTGTCATTTTGGGCAGTTTCAAGTGTTTTGCAGGGTTTTTTCAATAGGAATTCACTAAAAACAATCCTAGTCCATCTACTTTTCATTGAAAGGTATTTGTAGTCAATAAAAAAGAAAATATAATATCAATGTATATCCACATTTTCCTGACACAAAGTACACTTGACAAACAGAAAATGCCCAGGAAAATCTTTCAAGTTATTAAGAGAACTATAAAACACCCTTTGATTAATACTTTATGGGTTGTTTTGTATATTGTTGAATTAATGGAAGTTTATTTCAGCTGTTTTTCTTATGTACCTTGTTTTAAGATGTACATGTAACCCTCAGAAAATTTTCCAATGGTTGTGTGCATTTGTTTTACAAGAGAAGTGGGAGTTATGTTCATCTTGATCTTAGGAATGCCGCTCGGGACTGTGTCAGTCAGTGCTCTTAATTTAGCTTATTGCAGAGTTTTTGGTCATTGTCTACCTTCGTCAGGGCAAGCAGATTCAGTTCTGAATGAACACATAAAAATCCACGTTCATTCCTCCTGGATGCTGCGTTTCGAATTCGAAGATGAAGGGCTGCTCCAGTTCCTTATGCTGTACATCGGATAACTTCGGTTACTGAAACCTTGGCAATGAGATAAATTAAGAGCACTGACTGTATATATTTTTATCCATGTTCTGATCATGGCGCTACGCAGCCCTTTCATATCTCTGTGAAGAGGTACTCCAGTCTATTCCAATTTTTATCTTGCCTACTGAGACTCTGCTTAGATTTTGGGTACCAGACCAAGATGGCTGTCTTCTCATGTGGTGCCCTAACTCATGGTGATATATAATCATTGTATAATTTAGAGTAGTCCGTCGCTTCATGGACGTGTTCTGTCGTCTGACAGTCTGCAGTTGCCCCCAAGAGCTCTCCGTCTTGTTTTTCCTCTGGTACATCCGGCAGGCAGGAAGGTTCTGCCGGAACTTTAACCGGGAAAATGGGGGCCAGGTACCAGACCTGTATTTCGTTATTTTGATGGCTTTGTGACATTCATGTAGTCCTCATTTTTGTAGTGTATATTAGAAACAATGTATTTGCTGATACTGCCCTGTTCTGCTTGCATGTACGTAGTGGTAGCTACGCAGCAATGTGCACTTTCCCTGGTGATGGATTGGTTCTTGAAATACTCCCACATTTATTTGTTTTTCAAGTAACGAAGAATTTCATCTAAAAAGATTTTTAATTCAATTTGGATTATCGTACACTGCACCTGTACCGTTACATGTGCAGCATGAGGCATTAGTTATTCCCTGGTTCTTCTCAGAACCACACATACTCAAGAAAGAGATTGATCCATGGTGTAACCGCAATCATTCTACTCATATGTGTCATTAGTATCAAGACTACAATCAATATTCTTGTTCATGCATATTACACCATTGTCACTTTCACAGCCATCTTTTACCCATCCTGATGGTAATGACATTCAGAACCTTTCAGAAGGAACTTTGATTGCAGCTGTCTGAGAGCACTGAGTAGGCCTAGTGAAAGCATGTCATGTTTTATCCTGTTCCTTCACCCCCCCTTTATGTCCAGTTTTTGTGTACAGTGTACATCAGCTTCCGCATTGTTTCAGGCTTTCTAATTGGTTAGTGTAATCTTAAAATTGGTGTTGCCCTGTTTTGCTTTGTTTTGTTTCATTTTTCATTTTTTGCTGTCAACTTTTTCTTCTCGCAACTAACAAACACAGAAGTTCACGCCATTTCATTGCGACAACTTGTCAACTTATTGTATGCGCGGAGCCCTCGGAACTGTCAGTGCTGTTTCACTTGTGGTACATCAAGCAGGCGGGGGGTTTTATCCGAAATATCTCAACTGATAACGGTGGCCAGGTAATCAAGGGTTGTAGTCACTGTTTATCTGCTGATTTTTCTCCATTATTTTCTGTCCTCTCAAAGCGTGTAGATGTGAACCCATTGACGGTAAACTTCCTTGACTAGATTTTGTTCTTCATCGTGTGTTGATAATTTAATTAGTGGATTGGTAAAATAACATTACATTTAATATTGTTGTCTTTCAAAACTCGACACCACTTTCATAAACCATCTTGTCTGATTTGTTAGTGCTTATAAAAAGAGGAACTTAAATTTTCCGAAATGATGACACATACCTCAGCTTGTTCGGTTTGTATTGCTCTTCAATTTTTTGGTCAGTCAGGATTAGTATTTCTTTTCCATGAAGTATTCATGTTCAAACATGTTCTTATAATTGAACTGTGCACACTGGAAAAGCACTCAAGTGTGAACGCTTTTGTTCAGGATTTTATATAATCACAAATATATACTTTCTGTGTTTCATAGTTTGCGTATCATTGCATTTTCATCACACACATGTAGGTTTGCACAAGTGTGTCATTTTCATAAAGGTTGGATGTCCTTGATGTGTGCACACTCGTACTGTTATAACCTATCACATGTGTGCACACTCGTACTGTTATAACCTATCACACGTGTGCACACTCGTACTGTTATAACCTATCACGTGTGTGCACACTCGTACTGTTATAACCTATCACATGTGTGCACACTCGTACTGTTATAACGTATCACATGTGTGCACACTCGTACTGTTATAACCTATCACATGTGTGCACACTCGTACTGTTATAACCTATCACATTACAGAGCATGCAGTAACTGCACATACTAACGGTGAATATACTCAATACAATATTTAAATTGATTCAGGAATTGGCATTTGTAGTTTGGATGGAATAGTTGTTATATATTCTATGTATATCTTGGTTTCTTCTTTAAACTAGTGAATGGAGCCAGTCAAGCGGTACATTTGAAAAAAATGTCAGCAGTATCATCAACATGGATCCAGGGCCCTGCACTGGTCAGATGCTATTGGTTAAGGCCTGTCCATACATTACACAAAAGCAAACACAAATGCAAAATTGTGATGTCAGGTCTAATATGCATGCTGCAAATTTGCCAAAGTTGAGCTTGTACATTTCATGGGAGTTTCACTACATGAATGTATGCTTAGTATCCATACCTTCATTTGTGCTTGCCTTAAGAATAAAGTGGCCTTTTGTTTAGACTTTTCAAAGGATTTCACAGTCAAGAGACTGCCATGAAGTACGTGTACCCAGGCCGAAGACAGATTTCGTGAGACGGAAACTTAGTGGCTAACTAGAGTTAGGATCCCAGCTTAAGTGTAATTTGTTATTGTTTGCAACTGGTTCTAAACTGAAAATCTGCTTAGCAGCAGAATACAGTCTTGGGCAGTTCTGATTTCCTGGGAGGATTCACTTTCCTCAGCATCCTAAAGACATGGACATTGTACTTGTAGTGGAAAGGTAGTTCATACAGAAACCTCTCTCATGGTCATTTCTTTCTGGCAAGCTTAGTGATGGACATGTTATTCAGACATTTGTTTTAGGAATTGGGAACCCTCCGTTCAAATCTCACCTGAGCAACTTCTATCATTTCAGTATCTCTTTCAGGTGCTCTTGTCATCTGTTTTAGCTTCTTCTTAAAGAAGTTTGCATACTGAGGCTCAAATACATGTATTTCTGGGAATTATCTTTTTCCCTATTGTAACGTTCTGAATGCAGAACCACTCGACGATTTATGAGGTATCTCGTGGGAGTGGTTTGGTGCATAGAGACAAGTGAAGCCTCCGTCTTAGGATTCTGCTGGTATATGAAATCCGCCGGAAGCGTCAAAAGAGAAAATGCTGCACAGGTTTGTTTTCCCAGCCAGAGATGCTGAAATCATTACGCCTAGGATTTGTCTGTCGTCTGCCTTTGCTGTGCTTCTGTAAAAGCAATTCAGCTTGTGCCCCAAGATGCACTGACATGTCACAGACTTCCATGCTCCATCTTTCTTTTTTTATTTTGCGGATGAGACGTTTCAGAAATTAGGGGTCCATTTTCTTTTGTGTCCCTGTCACATGTGACATAGTTCAGAACACATTTTGTACTTTCCAAGAGAGATGAATTAATGCAAATTACCTGCCAAACAAATGGTAATCATTTGAAATCAAGTTGGGTGATATCTCCATGTCAAATAACAACAGTCAGATGTAACAGGAACATGAAAATATCACACTTCTGGACCCCTAATTTCTGGAATTACCCAGGTACGTTTTGAAGATAAAAGTTTAAGGTACTTGCTTCTGTAAAGACCATCTGTACAGGTACCCTATTGGTCATTAGTGGCTTTTTTTATTTTGTTGTGTTTTGCAGTTTTTTTTGTTTTTTTTTTTTTTAATTTCTTGGCAAAGTTCATATTAGCAGGGGTTCCCACTGCCTGGAAAAGTCATGGAAATTTGTTTTCATTTTTAGGCCTTGAAAAGTCATGGAATTTTATAAAAATGACGATGTCATGGACAAGTCATTTTCAAACACTGTGTGTGATTTCTATTGTCAGAAATAAGTGCGTAAAAGTGATTTTATTCGCAACTTTAAAAGTCTGAATAGACCAAGAAGTTGCATGGAATTTTAATTGTCCTTTAGGTGCAGGATCCCAGTACTTGACATTTTGTTCCTGATGTACTGGCATGTACATGTAGGATTATGTGCGAATTCAGTATACATACATGTGCATGTTCAAGCACCGAAGGGTTCCCGTAGAATTTATACATGATTTTTTCATCAAGGACTTGTCTGTTATCAAGGCTTAAGTTCAGTCTCCTCACTTGACTTTGAAAACAAACTGACACATATTTCCTTGCATTTTTCTGGGCTTTTCCAAGACGAACAGTTGATGAGCTCTTCTGAAATCTAGCATCCGTGTCAAGAGGTTGTCCATTCAGTGCTTTCAGATCGAAGCACCAGTCTATCACTTTCCCTCTCTTCTACAGCAGCAGTGTCTGCTGATATTTAGTCACATGCTGCAGTGGTACATTGTGGGTGGATCCAGCAGAGTTGTCTTGTCTGTTCTATTGTTGATTTGCCTTGCATTACTACACCACAGATTAACTTGTGTCTTGCTACCAAAACTAAAGAGTAGCTTTCGGTCTGTGTACCAATCACCTCTTTGGGGGGGATGGATATTTAAAGTAGCGTGTTTAGTATGCAAAGAATTTATACAGGACCTGTCCGTAACTGAGGAGAAAGTCCGGAAGTATACAGATGAAGCATGGATACCTGCAATTTGAACCTCTTTAATTTTTTCAGTCGACTGTGATTGTTCGCTGAAATATCAGGTTGTTGACTATGGTCTGCCATTTCTTATTGGTCAGTCTCTTAACGAGGGAGTAGTCTCTTGACAGGCATGCGAGTTTCCTTGTTCTGTTACGCGTTCATCTTACTTTCAACAACAGAGTTTTATTTTATGCAAGTTCTGGAATGTCGTATGTAGATGTTTCACCAGTCTTGACTTACATGCAATGTGCACAGTCAGTTGAAGGCACGGTGCACTTTCCTCAGAGAATACTGAAGAACAGTTTGCATACTGTTGAGTTCCCGTAGACTTGAAACATACCCACATGATAGAGAATATTTCCATCCATGCAACGCTTTCATCATTGACAAGCATCAAACCATTTTCTCCATCTAGCTTGATGGTAAGCCGGATGTCTGTTGCTTGGGCATCGGTATACCGAAGGTTTTATACCTCTGCAAAGTCATCCGAATACATGTACATTTTATCTGCTAGAATCACATTTGCAATCATACCATCTAATGGATTGATCGTGAGAATTTTCTCAATCGACCGCGAATTTCTTTCACTTTTGTGTTCAGTGTAGGGCCAAAGATGTGGACTTTCTTATGAAGACAATTTGGCATCTTTAAATGTAGCTTCTAGTAGTGTATCAAGCGGGAAAATTTGGGGCAAGTTGCACCCCTCCCCCGAAATGTTGCAGATTTTTTGTTTGTTGGGGTGTTTGTTGGGTTGTTTGTTTACTTGTTTGTTTAGTTTTCAGGGTTGAAAGTTCCAGCATTGTAGAGATGATACTACACTGATACACGTATCACCCTTCTTTCAGAGAGAGAATGAGGAAACTTTCACAAGTGAAGAAAATTGGACAGTAGTTTTTGGAAAAATATCCGTTTTGCCTCCTTGGACCCATGAGCGGGATACGTCACTGATGGCTTCTCAGAATGTTGAGACCCAACAAACAAGTCTGAATATTCCTGTTGACTTGCTGGTTGTTAACACAGTTAACAGTTACATTGTGTAAAAGTAACGGAGGAAAATGGTCAGACGTTTACAATTCTAATATCATCTGGTTCCAAATGATAGAGTCGTTGTTTGCGAAGTAAATGGGACAGGAAACAAAACAAAGAAGTATGCAGAAAGAAAAGTAGATTTTTCCCTCACAAACCTTTTTTATTTTCACTCGCCTTCTATACATGCATGACGTCAAGTGGACATGTACAATCTTCATGTGAATGTGCGCAAAGCAGCAGGTTTTCACAGTGATACTTTGCATATGGCAGAAAGCAGCAGGTTTTCACACTGAGACTTTGCATATGGCAGAAATGAAGTTCAACAATTGTACCAGACTGTCGGCAAAACAAGCAACAGTGAATGTTGGCATCTTACGAACTCCTGATTGGCAAGCTTTGAAAACAACATATTTGTTTGAAAGCTGAATTTCAATTTTACAAATTTAGCTATATTTTTTACAACGATTTTGTAGTTAATGAATAAAGTGTCATGTGCATGTATGCATGTCCCTGATGGCAGTTTCTGATCTGAGCCATCTGAATGGATTGTTCTTGACAGTCAATCAATTATCATAGTATAAGCTTTGTGCTGTCTTAGCAAAGTGTTATTTGGTTTCATCCATACCCTCCCTCCAATGCTGAATACCTTCTATTTTATTTTTTGTTTGAAATATGCGCCTTTTTTCACAATTCAGAAACGGGCGTCGGTTCTTTTCAGCATGTGTCAGATTGATTGTTACCATGGATCCCAAGGAGTTGTCTGTGCTGTTTTATATGTGGTACATCAAACAGTGTGGGGGATTTCTCCGCAACCTGATGACCGATAATGGGGGCCAGGTAGGGTACGGGGTCATGTGACTTTGCATGCTCTCCCATCATGCCAAGCTACATACATGTGTGAGGCGTTGGTCCTCATGCAGCATTTGCAGTGTGCTTTTGCCCTTTATTTAACATGATATTGTAACATCAGTAACTATCACTACCAATTTGGATCATGATTTGCTAAAGATTGTTTGCTGGAACTTTCAGTTCCGCGATTTGAAGTTTGACCTCATCCTCAAGACTTGACTCAAAGTTGCCACTTTGACCTTATTTGGATTGGACCCATCATATTGTGACTTCAACATACTGATATGTCTTCTTTTTTTACAGTTGCTTTTTTGATTTGGGTTTCTAGATACACAGTTTTGCTATGACTGATCCAATATACCAGTATTATGCATTCAGGGGGAAAGACATTCATCATTTCCGCATCCTTATTTTCAGCTTATTGTGTGACTGCAATTCAATTCACCGTGGAAACCACAAACTCACTGAGAATCATTAGGAATCATTTGGAATCATTTGGACATAGAAAGACATTGCGTCAACGCATTATTTTTAAATACAAGTACCTCACATCTGCTCAGAAAGTATCGCTTGTAAGGTTGTGAGACCATTTGTGTAATTAAGTTTGATATTTTGACTTGTGTAGTTTATATTTTGAAACTCAGTAGGTCATTTAAGTTTTGGCCAGCATGCTGTGTTTATAATCTGGAGAGGACGAGTTTCCTGATGATAGAGAATACTGTCTGGGGAACATGGAATTTCCTTACTGTTCCTTTAGAACCTCAAAATCTCACAAAAGAGAAATCGTTTTGTGGTGATGCTGCAAGACTGGGCTTTATTCAACTATTTTCTGTCAGGTTGGGGAAGTCAGGGTGGGTGTCTTTGTCTTGGTTCAAGTTGGCAAGCGCATTGACTTTTCTTACTGTTCCTTCATAACCTCACAGACTCACAAAAGAGATATTAATTTTTGGTGATGCCGGAATGTTGTTTCTGTCCATAAATTTGCAATCAAACTAGACCTTACTCCAGTATTTTTCTGTCAGGTTGGGGAAGTCAAGGTGGGTGTCCGTGTCTTGGTTGAGTTTTGCTAGTGTGTATTTTTTATTGCATTTTGTATGCTGAAAACATTATTACTGACAATCGCTTAGCAAATAAGCAGTGGCAAGATTAGGCCACATGTGGAATCCATGTTATTTTATTGTGTTAGATTTAATCAATTGGTTGAACCAATCCTGATCCATCTTCTGAAGATGTATTTGCTGTAGTGAGTAGTAGTTGTAGTAGTTGATAAGTGTGCTACAATGTTGCATGCATGTACCAAACTGGTGCACTGGTTGCTGTTACCCTGCTCATGTTTCTGCTAACGAGCTTTTTCTAACGGACAGAATGCTACACCTGACTTTGTTGCATGGCTAATCTATGTAAATGCACATCATTTGGTATTATGGCCAACCAATAACATTCCTCGTGTGCAAATGCTTTAACATGACACCATTTTACAAACGTGCTGCGCTTGCTTTTAGACCATATCAACTGTGTTGCTCTGCAGTATGTGCCGTTATGCAAAATGTACCTGCACATACCACACAATGTTATATCATTTTTGTTCATTATGTATTCTGCATAATTAATTCACGCTTAGGAACCAAGTAACCGAATTGGTGTCATCAGAAAAATATTGCATACATAGAATACGTATGGCAGCTTGCATGGGGAATTTCGTGACTTCTTCATTGCTCACTACAGTACTAGCCATTTAACGTCGGATTTTCTTACCTGAAGAAGCTGCTGGGTTGGGTTTTTACCCCAACAAACTCCTCAACCTTGCAATTGCATTTTGACCCAACCAACCACGATGTATTAATACGTCAACCAGGGAAATGAAAAAAGAATTCTTAAACGAACGTACATGTCTAACATGTAACAAATAAGGAAAATTTACATATCATCCGGCGTCAAGTGGTCAAGTGTGTCAGTGTCTGGTGTATCCTCTCCGAGTGGAACAAAAGAGGGCGTGTTTTTTTTGGTACCAGTACTCACAGCATAGGCACGCCATGAGGCGCGCTAGCATATGTGCGTTTGATGCGGAACAATGTATGGTCTTTGCATACATGCAGAACACGTGCAAGAACTCGTTTGTAACCACCTGTCTTTCTTTCACCGATTGGGGGTGCATTTCTGCTCGGGGCAGATACAGTCTCATGTCCTTCTTGTGTTCTCCTTTGTGTTCCTCAGCCATTGTTCTGATACAACTCTGCTATTTGCAGCTTTGGTTTGTCTCTTATTGGCTTCCTTCATCTTGCATGTACATGTATTTATAGCTTCTTTCAGCTCAGAATGTTTATTTTTGTTTCAATTCCTTTTAATTTTTTCAAATTTAGCTTCAAAAGTGAAACAATTTCACCTCCAGTTTTGTAAGTGTTCTCCATTAATAAAGTACATACTGATTTGGCAAAGTAGTGACTTTCAATTTATTGCATGTTCTGATAGGAGAGAAAGTTTGTTGGTGGGTCTCAGCAACTAAGCATTAAGATTGGAGAACGTGTCGGCAAAGAAAACATCAAATTTGAGAGTCCTGTTTCTCAGATAGACCAAAGCGAGGAGAAAGTAGTAATTCAGAACATTCATGGAGAGGTCTTTGAGGTGAGAGGAATATGATCAATGGATTGATCATTTGGGCACTGATGTTGGGAATCGGTCAATGGATTAATCATTTGGGCACTGATACTGAGAATTGATCAGTGGATTGATCATTTGGGCACTGATACCGAAAATTGATCAGTGGATTGATCATTTGGGCNTTGTTTGTTTGTTGGGGTGTTGGGGTGTTTGTTTGTTTGTTTGTTTGTTGGGGTGTTGGGGTGTTTGTTTGTTTGTTTGTTGGGGTGTTTGTTTGTTTGTTTGTTTGTTGGGGTGTTTGTTTGTTTGTTTGTTTAGTTTTCAGGGTTGAAAGTTCCAGCATTGTAGAGATGATACTACACTGATACACGTATCACCCTTCTTTCAGAGAGAGAATGAGGAATCTTTCACAAGTGAAGAAAATTGGACAGTAGTTTTTGGAAAAATATCCATCTTGCCTCCTTGGACCCATGAGCAGGATACGTCACTGATGGCTTCTCAAAATGTTGAAACCCAACAAACAAGTCTGAATATTCCTGTTGACTTGCTGGTTGTTAACATAATTAACAGTTACATTGTGTAAACATAACCAAGGAAAATGGTCAGACGTTTACAATGCTAATAACATCTGGTTCCAAATGATAGAGTCACGATTCACGAAGTAAATAGGACAGGAAACAAAATAAAGAAGTGTGCAGAAAGAAAAGTGGATTTTTCCCACACAAACCTTTTTTTTTTCACTCACCTTCTACACATGCATGACGTCAAGTGTACATGTACAATCTTCATGTGAATGTGCACAAAGCAGCAGGTTTTCACACTGATACTTTGCACATGGCAGAAATTAAGTTCAACAATTGTACCAGACTGTCGGCAAAACAAGCAACAATGAACGTAGGCATCTTACAAACTCCTGATTGGCAAGCTTTTGAAAACAACATATTTGTTTAAAAGTTGAATTTTAATATTACAATTTTTACAAGGATTTTGTAGTTAATGAATAACGTGTCATGTGCATATATGCATGTCCCTGATGGCAGTTTCTGATCTGAGCCATCTGAATGGATTGTTCTTGACAGTCAATCAATTATCATAGTATAATGGTGTCTTAGCAAAGTGTTATTTGGTTTCATCCATACCCTCCCTCTAACGCTAAATACCTTCTATTTTATTTTTGTTTGAAATATGCGCCTTTTTTCACAATTCAGAAACGGGCGTCGGTTCTTTTCAGCATGTGTCAGATTGATTGTTACCATGGATCCCAAGGAGTTGTCTGTGTTGTTTTATATGTGGTACATCAAACAGTGTGGGGGATTTCTCCGCAACCTGATGACTGATAATGGGGGCCAGGTAGGGTATGGGATCATGTGACTTTGCATGCTCTCCCATCATGCCAAGCTACATGTGTGAGGCGTTGGTCCTCATGCAACATTTGCAGTGTGTATTTGCCCTTCATTTCCCTTCATTTAACATGATATTGTAACATCAGTAACTATCACTACCAATTTGAATCATGATTTGCTAAAGATGATTTGCTGGAACTTCTAGAACCATGATTTGACGTTTGACCTCATCCTCAAGACTTGACTCAAAGTTACCACTTGGACCTTATTTGGATTGGACCCATCATATTGTGACTTCAACATACTGATATGTCTTCTTTTATTCCAGTTGCTTTTTTGATTTGGTTTTCTACACAGTTTTGCTATGACTGATCCAATATTTCGGTATTATGCATTCAGGGGAAAAGACATTCATCATTTCCGCATCCTTAATTTCAGCTTGTTGTGTGATTGCAATTCATAGAAACCACCAGTCACCGTGGAAACCACAAACTCACGGAGACAACTCCTTCAGTACCATTGCTTCATTCCATGGAATCAATTGGACGTAGAAAGACATTGCATCAACGTGTCATTTTTAAATACAAGTATCTCACATCTGCTCAGAAAGTATCACCTCTAAGTTTGTGGGCCATTTAAGTAATTACGTTTGAAATTTTGACTTGTGTAGTTTAAATTTTGGAACTCAGTAGGTCATTTAAGTTTTGGCCAGCATGCTGTGTTTATAATCTGGAGAGGATGAGTTTCCTGATGATGGAACATACTGTCTGAAACATGGACTTTCGTTACTGTTCCTGAAGAACCTCAAAAACTCACAAAAGAGAAATTGTTTTGTGGTGATGCTGGAATCTTGCTTCTGTCACTAAATATGTAGCAAGACTGGGCTTTATTGAACTATTTTCTGTCAGGTTGGGGAAGTCAAGGCGGGTGTCTTTGTCTTAGTTCAAGTTGGCAAGCGTATTGAATTTTCTTACTGTTCCTTCATAACCTCACAGACTCACAAAAGAGATATTAATTTTGGGTGATGCCGGAATGTTGTTTCTGTCCATAAATTTGCAATCAAACTAGACCTTGCTCCAGTATTTTTCTGTCAGGTTGAGGAAGTCAAGGCAGGTGTCTGTGTCTTGGTTCAGTTTTGCAAGTGTGTATTTTTTACTGCATTTTGTATGTTGAAAACAACCAAATTGAAGGCATTATTACTGACAATCACTTCGCAAATAAGCAGTGGCAAGATTAGGCCAGATGTGGAACCAAGTTATTTTATTGTATTAGATTCAATCTATTGGTTGAACCAATCCTGATCCATCTTCCGAAGTTAATACATGTACTTGCTGTAGTGAGTAGTGGTTGTGGTTATTGATGAGTGTGCTACAATGTTGCATGCATGTACCAAACTGCTGCACTTGTTACTGTTACATGTACCTTGCTCATGTTTCTGCCAACAAGCTTTTTCTAACTGACAGAATGCTACACCTGACTTTGCTGCTAGTGCATGGCTAATCCATTTAAATGCACATCATTTGGTATTATGGCTAACCAGTAACATTCCTGGTGAGCAAATGCTTTTAAACAACTAAACTTTGGACTCTTTGCTTGGCCAAACATGACACCATTTTACAAACGTGCTGCACTTGCTTTTAGACCATATCAACTGTGTTGCTCTGCAGTATGTGCCGTTATGCAAAATGTACCTGCCTATACCACACAATGTTATATCATTTTTGTTCATTATGTATTCTGCATAGTTAATTCACGCTTAGGAACCAAGTAACGGAATTGGTGTCATCAGAAAAATATTGCATACATAGAATACGTATGGCAAGCTTGCATGGGGAATTCCATGACTTCTTCATTGCTTACTACAGTATTTGCCAGTTAACGTCGGATTTTCTTACCTGAAGAAGCTGCTGGGTGGGTTTTTTACCCCCAACAAACTCTTCAACCTTGCTATAGCACTTTGACCCAACCAGGCACGATGTATTAATACGTCAACCAGGGAAATTAAAAAAGAATTCTTAAACGAGTGTACATGTCTTACGTGTAACAAATAAGGAAAATTTACACATCATCCGGCGTCAAGTGGTTAAGGGTGTCAGTGTCGGGATGTATCCGCTCCGAGCGGAACAAAAGAGGGCGTGGTTTTTTTGGTAGCGGTACTCACAGCATAGGCATGCCATGAGGCGTGCAAGCATATGCGCGTTTGACGCGGAGCACGCTGAGTACACATACCGGTAACTAATGTATGGTCTTTGCATACACGCAGAACACGTGCAAGAACTCGCTTGTAACCACTTGTCTTTCTTTCGCTGATTGGGGGTGCACTTCAGCTCGGGGCGGATATAGTCTCATGTCCTTCTTGTGTTCTCCTTTGTGTTCCTCATCCATTGTTCTGATACAACTCTGCTATTTGCAGCTTTGGTTTGTCTCTTATTGGCTTCCTTCATCTTGCATGTACATGTATTTATAGTTTCTTTCAGCTCAGAATGTTTATTTTTGTTTCTCTCTTGAGTTTCAAATCTTTTTAATTTTTTCCAATTTAGCTTCAAAAGTAAAACAATTTCACCTCCAGTTTTGTAAGTGTTCTCGATTAATAAAGTACATACTCACTCTGATTTGGCAAAGTAGTGACTTTCAATTTATTGCATGTTCTGATAGGAGAGAAAGTTTGTTGGTGGGTCTCAGCAACTAAGCATTAAGATTGGAGAACGTGTCGGCAAAGAAAACATCAAATTTGAGAGTCCTGTTTCTCAGATAGACCAGAGCGAGGAGAAAGTAGTAATTCAGAACATTCATGGAGAGGTCTTTGAGGTGAGAGGAATATGATCAATGGATTGATCATTTGGGTACTGATGTTGGGAATCGGTCAATGGATTGATCATTTGGGTACTGATGTTGGGAATCGGTCAATGGATTGATCATTTGGGCACTGATACTGGGAATCGGTCAATGGACTCTACAACATGTTTTACAATATAAAGCACTCACAACTGAGACTTATTACACTGTTTATGGCCAGTGGTTTCTTCAAAGAGTAATGTGTTACACTTTTAGTAACTATTGACTGAAGGATGAACATTTTGCTATTGACTGAAGGATGAACATTTTGCTCCTGCTTGCCACCATCCTTCACAGGCCAAGTACGTGATCATTGCTATGGCTCCATCAATGACCCAGCGCATTCATTACAGCCCCCCTCTTCCACCCAAGAGGAACCAACTGATAGCTAGAGCTCCTGTTGGCAGCGTCATCAAGTGCATGGTGTATTACAACAAGCAATGGTGGAAGGACAGAGGTATGTACTTGTACACCCTTGATTTGTTGTAGTGTGTGTCTGCAATTAAATTTGGGAGCTGCTGTTGTGATCTTTAGTTTTTGCATTTCGTACGCTGCTTGGATGGTTCGCTAAACTTTAGCTTCAGTTTCAGGACTTTGATCAGTTACAGTGAGACCTCTTCTCGATTGTCTTCATTTCCTGTTGCAAAAACATCAATTTGTCTATCATCCTCTGACATTATCCACAGTGCAGGAAACAGGTGACCCAATCCTGTGCACTTGACTATCATGGAGCATTAAGCTCTGTGTAAAGTAGCAGTTGGCTGGGTTCTACCGCCTTCAATCCTATAAAATCCTCCCAGACATCGTTGAGGATTGTGTAGGATTTGTAACCTTCGATGACAATTAACATGTGAAAGGTTATGTTCTCATTTCTGAATCAGATTTCTGTGGCTCAACTTTCAACGTGGATCCTGCCAGTCCAATGGTGTATTCTTTGGATGATACCAAGCCAGATGGCAGCTTCCCTGCATTGATCTGGTCGGTGTAGAAGTTTTCTAACATCCCCCCCTCCCCAAACCCCTTATCCCTATGGTTTCTGCACCATGACAAATACTGTAGAAAGTCACAAATTATGATCTGTAGTAGTTCACTTTTGCTAACATTGAAGGTGGGGAAAAAAAAACTTGGTCGAAGTTATTTTGGTCTGATTGTATGAATTTCAGTTTTGTGGCAGCCAACAAAGCCAGGGAATTCTGCAGCATCAGCAAGGAAGAAAGGTGAGTGGAATGGAAGGAAATGCAGCAGATGCTGATCCCCCCCCACACTAACAAAAAATAATAAATAAATGAAATAATAATAATATTTTCAAGATGTATTTTTGCGTTGGGGAGATGTTAATACTAATATTAATAAAAAAGATAACATCCTGTGAGGGTTATTTCTTCGTGGTGATTATATTGGCTATGTACATGTATATAAAAGTAAGTTCATCGGTATTGATGTAATGCATTACCTATGTGTCTGCCTTTCTGCAACAATCGAACTTTTAGAAAAAATGGACAGGCCTTAAGCCCCCCACCAGAAACCTTCATGGATCCATCCCTTAGCAGTGCACTTAGAAACACGAAAAAGTTCAGAGATTTTCATTAAGTGACTTGAAATGATTACAAAGAATAGCATTTAGACTGAATGAAGGTTATGGCAAGAATCCAAACATACTGCAGTTTTGTTTGTTGTATTAAGTATGTCATCTTAGGCACATGACTGAAGTATTTTCACGGCTTGTTTTATTTCTGAGTGAATGTGGAATGACCTGTTCCATTTTGGACTTACATCGTTTGGTTTGATATAATAGGAGAGACAGGTTGTGCAAGGCCTACTTCAATGCCTTCAATGGGGCCGAGGAAGCTTTGCATGTAAGTACAAACAAATGGTTGAGTCATAGATTAGCCAAATATTGATGTATCACGATTGAGCTGAATACATGGATCATATTTCATGCAGCTGTTAAGCAGATTTTTGACTAGTTTGATTGATGTGGGGAAAAAACCCTGGGCTCTGGGTCCCTTACACGTACAAGCAATGCAATACTTGGAAATTATTCCGACGCTGTGTAGGAGTTAAGCATGTAATATGTGTCGTCCATTTTCAGCCGGTGAACTACGTGGAGAAAAACTGGATGGAGGAACAGTACTCTGGTGGATGTTACACAGCGACCTATGGACCTGGTGTCCTGACTCAGCTGGGAAAGTAAGACAATCACCAAATTCAAACAACTTCTGTCTTCTTTGATAGTGGTTGATTCATTTCGATCAATGTAACTCTGATTTTACATGTGCAGTGTATTTTCATTATTGCAGGGAACTTCGTAAGCCATTTGGACGTCTGTATTTTGCTGGAACTGAGACTGCTACCCACTGGGCGGGATACATGGAAGGCGGCATACAGGCAGGGGAACGAGCTGCAAGAGAGGTAGATGGGTGGAGGATGGTTGGGTGTGGTCATTTGGTGGGATAGATTTGGAAGGAACGGGTATGTAGATGGTAGGGTGTGGTCAGTGGCCAAGGTACATGTCGAAAGGTTTACAGGGAGAAGAGCTGTGACAGAGGTATGTGGGTGTAATGTTGGGTGTGGTCACTGGGTGGGGTACATTAAGAGGGTGTGTAGACAGGAGAGATAGCGTAGTAGATATGGGTGGAGTGAGTGAGGTAGAAGTTGCAGTGGTACACAGTAGGTTTTTATGATTTATGATTGTACATCTCTTGCATGATTTGCACTTTGAATTGAACTGAGAGACTTTCGTCATTTTCCTTGTAGGTGCTGCACAGAATGGGAAAGATAGCAGAGAATGAAGTCTGGCAGGATGAACCAGAATCAAAGGTGAGGATGTCCACATTCCAAGGGACAATGATAGCAGACTTGTTTACCTATGAATAGAGGGCTGATATTTCTGAAAGAAATTGTACTTTTGACTTAGACAATTATTTGAGCTGGCAGATTTTCCACAGGATCTTGGCATTTCCACAAGGTTTATAATTTTGTGATTTCATTTTTTCCTGCTTTATGCTTGTTCAGTGAAATTTTTTTCTCTATTTTTTATTGTTTTCAGGAGGTGCCAGCTCTTCCCTTCCACTCCACTTTCTTCGAGCGGAATGCACCATCTGTTCCTGGCTTCCTCAAGTTCTTGGCACACACTGCCATCGCATCTACAGCCGTTGGGCTTTTTGTTGCTTGGCGTGCCAAGTACAAGTAAACGAGTCTCGTCGAAGAGAAGTGACTGAATCTGGACGGTCAGAGTCCAAAGGATTTTTTATTTGGGGATTCATGGAAAGGTTGGGCAGCATTGCAAGTCCGGCAATTTAATGCCAAATACCTTGATCATCCTACTGAGATACAAGTTTGCCTGCTTCAAAGTTAAGAAGGGGAATTGATAAACACTACCACTACCACACAAGGCTTGCAAAGAAATGTTGAGTGCGGTGGTTTTACATTCCAATCAAGTGTGTTGTTACAGCCAGCATTAATATAACTAATGATTGTCGGAAGATTTTGGTTGATTTGCAATGCACGTATATATGTCCCACTCTGCAAAAATGTGTATTATGTCGCGCATTGCAAAAACGCATACTGGCCTGTTCCATGTGCTGAGGGTGAAATATTTGGAGGCCAATTTCTTGACCAGAAAGCCTCTGTTACTAAGGAAAATTAAGAGAGTATGTTTCTGTTATGTTTACAGAGCATTATCTCAGAAGCACGTGTGATAAAATGAAATTATATGAATATGCAAATGGCAAGTAACTCCAAAATGCAAAATGCCACCGGGATGAATTATATATCGAATGAAAGCTTAGCTTAAGGTTAAAACTTGTATAAAAACTGTCTGATGAAACTTTGATGTCACAGATTTAACAAAATCAGTATTTTACGACTGAACTAAGTTTGGTGTTGGGTAACAGAGAGCTGTTACCTTTGGACGGTGACTCATTTTTAATGAAAATAAAGGAAATTAATTAGATTGAATTTCAAGGCACATTGCACTACTTGTAAATTTTGTTTTCATGTACAGGAGATGGAGAGAGAAAGGAATTAAGAGTGATTTTTACCTGTCTGTAAAAGACTAAAACACCAGGGGTAACATGCTTTATACATGTGTCTGTAAAAGACTAAAACACCAGGGGTAACATGCTTTATACATGTGTCTGTAAAAGACTAAAACACCAGGGGTAACATGCTTTATACATGTACTTTGATCCAGTCACTCTACTGTTGGATAGATCTAGTGGCACCATTTTGAGGGGGGTTTGTCAGTAACAGATTTATTTGACTATCGTAAGCCAACTTATGCAGGTTGTTAGTTTGCTGAGTTTGGTTAGACTAAGAGCATGTGATTGCAATGTGGCAGTGCATGTTGGAAAGACTAAATCAGCAGAACAATCTTGGTTGCAAGTTTGAAAATTCTGACAACTCGACGCAATCTCAACTCTTGGCCCAAGGACTTTTTCCAGGCCATTCAATATTTCAGGATTGCTGGTGAAATTGTGAGTTATAAACTACAAACAGGTTTCAAGCAAATATGACAGAATATGCATTATTATGTGCATATTCATTTTTATAAATAACCATCCATTTTAACCCTAAATTTTGTAAGAGGTATTTGATTCTTCGCAGTTGTGGAATTGTGTACGGATTCCAGGAAGGAAAGTTCATGGGGAGTTTTGTCTTTATCATTACTGCAGAAAATTATTTAGCAGGAATTAGAAGTTAGAATTCTAGTTGTAGTGAGGGAAATACACATGCCTGCCTATAAAAGGCTAAAAATGTGGACATTGTTATCAATTGTTTTGCTTTACTTTCAACGAAAAGTTGTGGTGTTTAGTTTATCTTGATTTATTTTGTTTGTAGTTTTGTGTTATGCTTTGTAATTGCCTACTCCATTGAGATCTTTATTCCAAACACGATGGCTGAAATGTGATAAATAAATACTGGCAAAGTTTTGTAGTGAAACCCTTCCTGTAAATGACTTTATCAGAAGAAAATATAAATACTTTAGTGATACATTACACATGCGTACACATGTAAGTGTACATGTTGTGCTTGGCTTTTGTGATACATTACACATGCATACACATGTAAGTTTACATGTTGTGCTTGGCTTTTGGAGTTTTTATTCCTAAGTCATTCAAAACGCTACAGCTGAAAATGTGGTGAACATTAAGTAGTTGGAAATTTGGAGTGAAATGATTCCTTTAAATAGATTTATCATTAGCAGAAAAGATATATACCTGAAAACATTGCATGTTAAACATGTCTAGTGCTTTGCTTTGTGCCCGATGGTTATTCCAACTGTAAAGGCTGATTATATAAGAAACTATATATGCTTTACATGAGACTTTCACAAAATGGAGTGTTAGTTTATGAATGCATTATAAAACATGCTCAGTGGAAACATGTTTTCGAATGAACAATCATGGCGTACTAAAATAAGTTAAAATTCATCTGTACATCAGTGAATACCTCAAATATTTTACAAATGTTACAGTGACATTTCAAATGTTTTATTCTTGTATAATACTTGTGATTCCATGTTTATTTACAGCTTCAAGTAAATTTGCCTTCAAATCATGCCGTGTTTAACGTTAAATAAAAACACAATTTTGCTGAAGCCTATTAATGTTGAGCTTCGTTTTTGACTCTCGAAAAATTCAAGTAACCAAGACGTTACATTCCGATTCAGTGTTTGGTTTTAAGCTTTATGTATTACACCACAGTCATAGCAGCAACAATGCCATTTTCAGTTTTCAGATCCATTTGTACCTGCATCTCTCAAGCTTGGAGATTTTCCAGTCTGCTTGGTCAACTTGAAGCGAGCTTGTAGCTTCTGTCCAAACTCCTTGCGACGTTGTCGATTGGCTGCATAATCCCTCTTTCGTTGTTGAGTCAGTTTCCATTTCTGCACTTCCTCTAGCTGGTTGTACAATCTTGGAGGAATATACAGATGACAATTTGACACTTGTTGATGCAACATCAGTTGCCAATAATTGTATGATTCCACTTGCAAAGAAATGAGAGAAAACAATCCGTACAGCTTTTGTCATACACATTCTTTTCCCTTTACAATTCCCTTCTTTTAATGAGGATGTACGTCCTCGTTGAAGAAATCAAGACCAAACTCCAACCTAATGTTTCGCAGGTACATGTCTCTCTCTGCCGCCTTTCGATCTGAGGATGTAACGGTCCGAGTTATTTTGCTCCTGTCTTTGGTTTGTTCAATCTCCCTCATAGATACTTGTCCATGTCGTGTTGGCCCTGTCCCTGACCTTTTACCCCTGACTGCAGGACCCTTTGATGGGCTTTTACCTGAAACGATTGCAACAAATCCTAATTTTAACATCTATCCACTCAGAACACCTCCGTGCAAGTTTGCAGGAAAGAACAGAAATTAAGATATTCTGGTCACTTGGCATTCTTTGAAGTCAATCGCATAACTGTAAGGCACTTTGTCCTTAATCTAGAGCTTTTAAACAATTTGTCTCAAAAATGATCGTTAAATTGAGATTAGGATGAATTATTTGAGGGTTCGTAACAAGTCAATCCATGCGGAGGTTAAGAGAAATTCAATTAGCCTGGCACACCTGTAGTGGGCCACTTGAAAACTGATTTCTACCTTTGAAGTATTACAAGAAGAACCTACTAGTCCTGGTATTTGAGGGTCGGTGTATCTTCCCACCTCGAGATCTCTTCCAGTTATCCAGCGTCTGGGAGAATGCTGTAGCCTGATGACTCTCTGCGTGAACTTTGACCTCTAGCTGACGGGACTGAGTGGACCTAATGAAGGATTGTTTGTGCCGCATGAAGGCTTCTTGCAGACTAATAGAACGGTCTTCAGAAGAGGCTAAGATGAAAGAAAGGACATAACCATCAAGTAAACAACAATTCATGTCAAGGGCTAATGTTTGAAATAACTTGATAAGTGACTCTTAGGAAAGTGTTCAGGCCCTTCTCCTGACTTGAAATCGATGGGTACTTCCCCCACCTGACGTAATAAATTCTGTATCCAACTGGTAAAGATGATAGGCATTTTCATTCAAACATACGCAACAAATATGTGTGCTTTTGTGACATCTGATTTAGGGATGCAACTGAGCTTGGTCACTTTTGCCTTCAAGTTTGAATATCTTCAAAACGGAAATCAATGTCTACCTGTACCTCCAGTAAGATCAACTTGATCCTCAGCCATCAATGAACTGGTTCCAACTGCTTTAGACTGGTCTAAACCAGATCTAGCTGGGCTTTCCAATTTCATCTCCTCTTCATGGTGCAGGAATGATACCAATGAGTCACTGCCAAGCTCCTCTGATACCCACTGCCTTTGTTTTATTGAGTCATTGGAATCATCAGGGGGACCAAAGGATGTCAAGGTGGAGTTGAGAGAAATGAGGGTTAAATCTGGATCCTCAATGATGCCTGTCTCCTGGGTAGGTTTTCACAAGACAAAAAGTAAAATAAATTTGGCTACCAAATTCATCACTGAGAAGACTAGCAAAGTACATGTATTTACTTCATACAAGAATTTTGTGTAACACCAGGCTATAGATTCCTAGTATAGACTGTGATATGGACTGTGACTGCTTTATTGTACTTTTGGCAGGTGCACAGGACCATGGTGGCATCATGTCACAGTATGACACCATTTTCTTGAACTGAGTACACAATAACATTTAATAACTGTGCACTATACCTACTACTTGAACTTCCTTCCCTTTCTCTGCCTCCGGGTCCTGCATCCCAGGAGAGCACATCTAATTGATTTGTTTACTTACTTTGGAAGTCTCACTCTCACTGACAGCAATATTTCTCATTGCCTCCTGTAACGTGTCATCCACCATGGCTCCAGATGGATCATGGGGTTCTTCTACCAGTGCCCCGGCATAGGAAAGCTTGGAGGATTCATCATCACTCGGGGGTGTATCTACTGAGACATCGGTCTCTGATTCCAATGTCTCCTTGCCTGTTTCCACTCTTTCTCGACTGTGTTTAACAGTGCTACCCCTGTCGGGTTGATGCAATTCAGAGTTATCTAACTTCTGCTGTGGCATAAACCACTGCTCTGACTCTCCGCTGGGGGATGCACGCCTATTTAACTGCCCAGGATCCACTGTGGATATAGGGAGTATTGTGGGACCACTCTCTAATGAGGTGTTGTAATGGCTGAGAGACACGTCAGAGAACATCGACATGCCGTCTTTGGGTATATCTGAGCCTCTGAACATTGGGAAGAAAGGTGCTCCACCAGCCAGATAGGAGCCACTCTGGGTGTCTGTGTCTGTCCAGGTGCTCTGGGGTGAGACTGGACCTAAGTTATAATCTTCCGAATGTATGCTTTGTCGAGGTGCTGTTGGAAGGCTTGGAAGAGTGACTTCAGTTGCAGCTGCTCCTGACTGGGAAAAGGGAGGTATAGATGGCTCAAAGGATGACTTCCAAGAGCTCCTAGAAGGAATGTCCATCACAAAGTTCTTAATGACGGGGCTCTTGGTGGAGCGCTTATCACTACCAAGCATCTGTACTTGGTACCTGGCACTGGTTGAGGATGCTGAATCTGAAGTGCTGCTTTCAGAGGCAGAGAGAGCAAGGAACTGCTCAACTGACTCATCGCTGAGTTGTAAGCTATTGACCAAGGTGTGCTCACTCAACATCGAGATTGTCGAGTCAGGTTGCGTTGTTACCTCCTCAGTGTCAGTAACTGGAGAGGCAATGTGGATGTTGGCTGGGTTGGGGATGGGTATCGGTGTGGTATGTGAGGAAGCCACTGGAATAGATGATGCTGCAGATGCGCTCACTGTGGCAACTGGTCCCTCTGTCATTACCTGACATGGGGGCAAAAATAATGCACAAAGTTTTATTACAAAATCTAATTTAACTCATGTACCGTGTACATGAATATCTAGACTATCAGTTACAAGAAAAAATTAATGTGTTCTTTGGAAAAGGTTGATTTTCAACATTTTCTTCATTTAGAGTTCTTGAAATTCATCTTTGCCATAAATATGTTACTTAAAGAACTGTAACTGCAATAGTGCAACAACTACAGTTTAGATGCATGAAATAAACCTTGAAGGAAGCCAACTCACATTTGAGGAGGGATAAGACAGCACACCTCGTCCAACATCCATTGCAAAGCTCGGAACAAAAGTAGGACGTGATGTATCAACTTGACCCTGGCTGTGACTATCTACATTGGGTGTCTGAGTAATCTCTGCTATAGTCAATGTCTTTGAGCAGTTTATGCCACTGACTTGACCAACTGGAGTTGCCACCTGGGAAGCCTTGCCACTAGGATCAGACTTCACACTTGCGTGCTCCCCAAGGTAGAATGGACTACTGCTAGCTTGGGTTCCTTGTTGAGAGGTCTCCAGAAGGAATGGACTAGTTTTATGTGGTGTTGAGGCAAGTGGATTCAATTCTTGGTGACCTCGGGACAAATGTTTGCCTTCTGGGGATTCTCCCTCTAAGATAGTACTTAGTTCATGAGGTCCTGCTTCCATAGTCATCTGGGGAAGTCTCCACTGTGATGGCGGAGGTCTGGTGTGTTTTGCAAGTCTTTGTGATGGCAAGGCAGACTGGTTACGTTCTACTTGTTTATTAGGATCTGAACCAGAAACAAAGATGGATCCCCAGTCCTGCTGCATATGCTGTGCAATTCCCATTCCAGATTGGCCATGAGCAGGCACATCTTGATTCTCAGTAACCTCAAATGGTTGATGATCAGAATTCTCTGTCAAATGGGCACTACTTTCTAGAGAGAGTTCATGAAATGATGGCAGCTCCCTCTCAACAGATTTACCAGCTACATCAAGAGTTGGATCAAAGTGGTAAGATGTTTTGCCTAATGTCATGGAGGGAAGCTTATAGACAGCCCTGGAAGGGGATGGCCCATCTGATGACTCTTTTGTCTTAGACAATGTTTGGCCTACTTGCTGTGAAAATTCTGGACTCCCTACTCCTTTGATATGAGGCACTCCAAGTTCTCTTGTTGCCACTTTTGGTTGGGCATCTGGATGCACTGTTGTCACCTCTGGTGGTTCTGACGCAATCACATCTTGTGTTCCACACTGCAAAAAGACCACATCTGGAGGTACTGGATGCGATGTCCTTATAGTAGATGACAATGCTCGTGGTATTCCAGGTGGAATTTGAGACATAACATCATGTAGAATAGGCTGTGATGTCATCATTACTTGTGTTCCTGGAGGTGAAATTATCACATTTTGAGGTATCCCCTCTGATACAGTCCCCTGTCCTTGTTGCCTGCTCAACTGCTCCTGTCTTTGCTGTCCTATTCTCTGTACGAGTATCTTCTGTTTGTCAAGGATCCTCTGCTGCTGTTGCTGCTGTTGCTGCTGAAGTTGCTGCCATGTCTTCAGCAGTTGCTGGCGATGCTGCTCCAATTTCCTGAGGGCAAATTTACCAAAGGAAAACTCTCAGGCAGAAAATCTGGTGAGAATCTTTTCAAAAAGCTGGCAAGATTCTTAAGTTGTTGGGAAGTTGTTAAATGCTTGCATCTTTGTGAAGCACAAACAATGCTAACTTGACTAAAATGACCCATTTAATCTACTACAACTATACATACCTTTCCATTTCATTAAGGGGAAGTCCTGACGCTGTGCTATGAGCTGTCTGTTTCAAAACATCTAATTGAGGTGCAGAAGCAGAATCTGCACCTGATGAGAGCCCAGCCTCAGGCTTTGACACTGAGGATACACCAGTTACAGATACACCTGCTGCAGAGACATCACATGTTGTAGATACACCTGTCATTTGGGATGCCCCTTGCTGTCTTACAAAGCTTTCTGCTGCTGAAATGGGTACAACACTTGGTGCGACTTGTACAGCATCAGAGTGCTCTATGTCCTTTCCTAGCCCTGCGTCTCTCACTATTTGTGCTCCTTGGTACATTGGTGTATCTGTCACCATGTCTGTCATGGGTTCTGTAGAATCTGGGGTGGGTTTGTTCTTAATGTAAGGCTCATATGGGGGAAGTTGGAGTTCAGGATATAGTTGCATGAGTCTCTCCCTTCGTTGTTCTAGTTGCAGCTGAGCTTCTTGGAGTGTGTCACGACTGGGTAGCTTTCTTCCTGCTTGATCTGCAGTTAGCTGGCTTGACACAGCGGTTTTTACAGTGTCCTGCAAGTGTTGTCTCAGCCATTCCTCACCATGTCCCTGCTCTACAGTTACTGGAATCTGCCTGGCTTGGAAATCTCTCTTTTGTTCAAGACCAGAGACACTCTTGGGAAAAGTTGTAGGATCCATCAATTCAACGGCAGGTTTAACTGTCAAATCTTGGGTTGATCTTTCCCGTTCCATCAGTTGGCTAATTCTCTGCCTGGGTAACTGGAAATCTGCTGTATTTACTTCAACTTGCTGTTGCTGCAAATGCTGCTTTTGACGACTTGATTCCTTGCTCATAAGGTTTGGCTGCCGCAGCAGGTTATTTGGAAGGTCTTGGTACTGTGTGAGATCATGCTGTTGTTGGCCATTATCTTGTGTCTGCTGCTGTTGTTGTGTGACCTGCAGTTGTTGCGCTCGCTGAAGCTGTCGCTGCTGGTCAGAAATCTGCAGCTGTCTTATAAGTCGTTGTATGGCATGTACATTGTGACTTTGTGGATGTTGGTTTTCTAGGGGTTCATTCAACTGTGGCTGCAGTTCATCATTCCACAGCCCGGGCTGTTGTTTTCCAAACTGTTCCTGCTGCAACTGCAGCTGTTCCCTATGCAGCCTTTCTTGCTCCCCAATATGCTGCTGCAGCATGCGCTGTCGCTGCAGCAGGTTATCTTGCAGCATCTGCAGATGGTCCCTGTGATCCATGTGCTCTTGCAGTTGTTTCTCAGCAAGTCGCAGTCGCTGCTCATCCTCCTTGGCTATTATGTCTTCCTGTGCTTTCTTCTGCAGTTCTACTTCAGGCACCTACAGTCAAGAAAAAAAATGTGAATCCTAGGTAACCTACAGCTGTCACAAAAAGATTTAATAAGACTCCTTCAATAGAACATAATGCCCTAAACATAGCACTGCCACAGACATAACTCCTTTCAAATTCTTCAAGCATACCTTTGTCACAGATCTTATCTTGGCAGCCTCTTCCAGGGGATGTAAGAGAGTCCTCTTCTCCTCCAGCTTGTTGGTGTCTTCAGACAGTGTCCCTGATTCCAAAGTGTCAAGTGTACCTCTGTCACTCTCAGATTCCTCCTGGGCTGCCTCAGGAGATGGTGAGAAGGCATCCTCAGTTGACAAGTCTCTTGAGCTAGATGGGGTCTCCAGCTCCTCACGAGGGTGTCTTTCTGGGCTAGGTACCTCCAATACAACCTTTTTCTTCAATTCCTCTCGCTGACTCTTGATGCGATCCATCAACTTCTTTAGAGGAGCTAGAAGATTGATATAAATGATATTTACATATCAGAGTATGACTACTGACACATCAAGCACCTAGGAGAGCTGAACAAAACAAGTGCACTAATTGACTACAGTATCAGGTGTCCATTGTGTACAGGTGTAGGTTATGATCGTCACTGACCTCTTGGTTGTTTTGGCTTCTCCTCTGCAATTGTTTTTTCTGCCTCCTCCTCGCTTTCCTCATCCAACCCTTGTGGCAATCTCTTACCCCCGTCATCTCTATCGGCAGGTAGTATCGGGACCGGCTGAAGTGAGATACCAACATCATCAGACACAGAGTCCACTGTTACATCCAGGTCTGTGTCTCTCTGTGGTTTAGGTTCCAAGGCCAGGATCAAATCACCAGTGTAGTCTGGCAATGAGAGAGGGACTGTCTTCAATGCAAGAATTATGGTGGCACCATCTTGTACATAAGTGTAGACTTGATTCAGACTATAGGAACTTTCTCTTAATATTTCCTTGTTTGTTCGTTCTCAGCCTACCCATCCAACTGCTCCTACCTGTATTAGCCATGTACATGTCTTCAAATGCTTGCTCCAATTTCTGCTGTTCTTCTTGTTTATCTTCAAGTCTTTTGTGAGGAGGCTGAAACACTTGATGCTGCCAAGAAAATGTGGACAGACACATCAAACCAAAGCTACGTGGTGAAATGTGTTGGGAATTAATGCTGGCGAGTTTGAGTCTATTACCACTTCCTCCAAAATGAAACTTCAGGTTTTCAAGACAAACACCTGACAGATGAGATTTGAACCCCAAGCCCAATTTTATGGCTCTTGTTCCTATGACTGGGAGTCTTTACAAATACAGGAGTTGCCAGGCTAATTGTGTCTTCATATTTCACAGGTCAACGAGAACTTTTGGCTTTTATATATGGACTGATAGTCAGAATTCTGTGCTTGCAAAGTTAGCACTAAATATCTACTCAACACTTAGAATGGTTATAATAACAGTGCAGAATTGTTTGAGACATCACAAGCCTTCAAATCCCAGATGTGCTTATTATCCTCTTACTGGTATATTGGCCACTATGGTTTGCCTTCGTCGTCTATCTGCTTGCTCCATATGTCCCAACTCCTCCATCAGTTTATTGTAATCTTGATGAAGTAACTCTTGTTTCCTGGCGTGCTGATGTCTCAGACAAGCTTTCTCTTGTCGTTCCTTCTCCTCTCTCTCTGTCTCCACCTTATCTTCTTTTGCTCTGCGTTCTTCTTCCTGTGCTGCCAGTCGAGCGTCCTCCTAAATGTGCACTTATACATATCAGCATTTCTTGCAGATATTTTCAAGAAGTTCTTCTGTATTCTTCAAGATGGCTACTTCTTCCAAAAAAACTTTGTCGAGCAAATCGTAAGTACAAGTACAGTAGTCAAACAAATGCCTGCGAATCAGTTTAGACTGTGTCCAATCATTGTGGCTATGACTGGAGAAAATAGTTAGGCCTATGAAAGTCAATAGGTAGTGGCTTCAGTCACGTCCAATAGATGCATGTATTAAAGCTAGCTGTAGCCGGTTGATTTAGATACATCCTTACCTGTTCCTCGGGTTCAGCTTTCTCCACGTACTCCCCTTTCAGATGATAGTGACTCGTAGAGAAACCACTGGTTACTATGACGATTTTGTTCTCCTTTCCGACGTCATCCAGATCTTCCAGTGGATCCTAGGACAAAGTCAGGAAATAAAGCTAAGAAGTTACACATGTTTTAGCCAAATTATCTGATTTTTATAATTTTCTGTTCAGAAAACTTGTAATGTTAGACTCATCCCAGTCAAACTCTGTCATAGTAAACATCCGTAGTAATATGAACAACAAACACACCTGAATAGAGCATGACTATTGAGAGTGCTCCAACAATAACATTAAACCTCATGACCTTTGTCACGGGTCAGTTGTATTTATTTATTGAAATGTACATGTACTCATGTAGACAGTGTAGTCCGCATGTGAAGAACTGAGCCAATAGGAAACCAGAATAGAGGAATCAGCCAATGGCAGACAAGACATAGAAGGTTGTCACCTGTCCTGATATGAAATTAAGGAATCTGGTCCCACAGTCCTTTACCTTGACTGGTGGTGGTAAGCTTGCCATTTTTGCAGCCCGTATCTTCTCTGCTTGCAATGCTGACTTCCTGGCGATGATGTGGGCGTTTTCCTTGAGATACTGCTGTTCCTCCTCCACCTGTTGTCTCTTGAGGGCGGTATTATAGCGCTGTATGGCAGAATGCTGGTCCTTGAGGGCTTGAGCTGCTCGAATTTCAGCCAATGGGGGCTGCGGAATAATAAACATAAACAAAAACCGAATACAATGGAGTAGATGAATGATTCTTTAATCCTCAAGAAGATGCCTTTAAACAATTTAAGGATACAAATTACATCTTGTTTAAGAATTTTCTATGTAATAAAAGCTGGTCTCAATTGGTATGACGTGATAAAGTACATGAATTTCACAATATTTTGGTTAACACAAAATTATCACTCGGCATATTGCCTCTGACCCCCAACGCCTCTACAAAAGGTAGGCACAATGTCAGGACTTTATCGATGGGCCCTACTTTCGAAGACTTCCATAAGCTGATATCAATCTAGCCAATTATTAGATCATACCTGGTTGCTAGCAGCCCTGTGTCCATCCCCTATGCTATCAAGACTTCTCTCCACTATCTTCTGTAAAGCGTCTGTCTTCTCTTTTTTCTCCTCTTCCCAATCTTTCTTCATATGAAGAGCCAGGTTCTTCAATTCTTCGTCCTTCTTCTTGTTGACATTACTTCTGACCTTGGAGGCAAAATTCCTCTCTTGTTCACGGACCTTAGGAAAGAAATGCATCAGGACCATCAAGACGAAGAGTTTGATTCCGATTAACCAAACCAAATTACAAGATTCTTAATCATTTCTGCAAGTTTCACTCATTCCATAACCTTGAGAACTCAAAGGATTAAGTCTCACCTGTTGGATTCGTAGTTTACGTCGTCTCTCCTTTTCTCGTTTGATTAGTGCAGCTTCCTCATTTGGACTGAGATGGTAACCAGTCTTTTGAGACTTTGCTCCAGTGGTTGGCATTGTGAAAATGGTGAAATATTCAGAAATCTTACCCTAGGACAAAAAAAAATGAGTTGCTGACATAAGTTGGCACGTAAGCTAAGAGCATTTCTAACATTCAACTAGCATTTAAGCACCAGTATCTATTTGTGCTTGTAGCTGCTTCCACAGAACTGTAAGGTTTATACATATATAAACCTTACATTTCTGGCCTGTCTGGAAGTAGGCCTAACTTGTACATGTAGCTATCTAAATATTGTTAAGTTACACTTACAGCTCACATACACATTTAGCCAGCGACAGCTGAATGGAGTAATTGCAGAATACCCCGCCACTCTAAAAAACGACCCCTGAAATGACTAGTTACCTGGGTACAAGGTGAAAATCCCTTGAGAAGCGTGTGACATTTTGACCTGTCATGCGGGATAGCAGGGTATTCTGCAATTGAGCTGGCTGAATATCCATGGTCTTTTAAAACCATCAAAAAGGAAAGTTAAGTAAGAGATTTCATGCAGGAGGTTATGAAGATATCGGCTAATTCAATGCACCCAAAAAGATTCCCTTATTTTATTTTTCATGTTTGAGAATTTTAACTGACAAACAAGGCTGATAATGTGACATGACTGACTGCTAAAGTTTAAACCAACTTTGCAACCATGGCCTAGCCCGGGCAGCAAACAACTGAACTAGAACTGCACTCGACGTAGAGCAGTGCAATGCTGTTCAGATTTTGCAAATAACGGACTGAGGGACAAGATCGATCATGTCGATCATAACATGACCAGACATGCCAGATGACAGGGGAAAAAAATAAGTTTTTTGCCTAGCATCTGAGGCTGAGCATGCCTAGGCCTGGGCCTAGAGTAAGCCCTAGACCTATTCAAACAAAAATGAGATCATCAAAATTATTCACACAGCTTAATATCATTTAAGGAAACTGGCCAAACACACGTACCACGAATAAAATACATTCCTCTTTGTACAAACATAGGGAGTGCGGTTTTAAAGTATGTTTTCGTTGTCGGTTTGCATAAACCGCCGCGCGACGATTCACAGTATGGTAACTTGTCATTACAGATAACAATAATATCCCCTTATTAAGTGGCACCTAACTAAAATGTCAATTCAATAGAGGGCGGTCTGGCTCGTCGAGAGCAGCTTGTCTCTGTTCTCAAAAGAGATTGAAAATTGAGGGCGGTATGCCATCTTAATGGTGTGTTTCGTTTCGAGTTGTTCACTGTGTGTGTTCGTTGGAGAGGCTCGAGTGAGGACCGTTACCAACAGCATCAATTCTCTATTTTATGCGTTTTCATCCCAGGCAGATTTGATAAATTTACGGATAAAAAATGGTCCAAAGTCAATCCCCTATACCGCGACACCATCCGCCACATCAGACCCGCTGGCCGGCAAAGCTGTGCAGCGTTATGGCCTTAGAAACTAGCCCTTAGCCTATACAGCCTAACCTTGAGTTGGATTGCCGACCAGCGGGCCAAACCAGCCGTGGATTTTGAGAGAATTTGTTCGCATTTTTTTTAAATGAAACACTCGTCTTTTTAAGCTTGAAGAAAATTAATGATTACAAAATGGTGAAATTGAATTTTTTGGGTGGCTATCATATTCCATGTTCTTTATTTCTCTATAAAATTACGTCATATTTTCAGTTATCGGAATGCTGTTTGTGTTTATTTAGTGCACGCTTCTGTCGGCTGACTTCAGCCATGATCATAAAGATATATATAGGAAAATGTTTATGTAACTCTTTATCAGGTAGGCCTACTGATAAGAAATTGTATAGCCTAAAAGAAATCAATGTACACCACTCGAGGGTTCGCCGAGGGTAGGTAAGGATTTTTCCACTGTCATAGAGATAGGTGAGTTACGAGAAATGTACATGACTAATCAATATTTTTAATGTTAAAAATCACTAGGAACAGGCGTGTCTGACACAAATATATAAACGAGTCTGTGCTCGGACGGTGCATTCACCGGGACACAATTTTGTTTTCTCTCCAAAACCCGACCTCAATAAAAGCTATATTCAGAGGGGAAATAAAATCTGGCATTTTTACAGAAGAAGCTTCCACGAGGCGTTGATTACTCTCCCCTGAAGACTGGCAATGAAATCATTTTCCCCTATGAAATGACACCGTGTCTGCCCAGATACGTGTACTAAAGAAAACGCGTCTTGGGAATGTCCAAAGTCCTTCACCAGCTGAGTATTACAATGTTCTTGATGTTCTTATTCAAGACATACAATGTACTACAACAAAATAACTGGCCTCCGAAAATAAAGCAGATGTGTGTTGGATGAGAAATATCAAAATGAATGTATTATCATAGGCCTGTACAACTCATCCAGATCGGCAGCCCCAGCCGCACCACCACGACTGTAAAATCGTCACTGTGATTTTCGTCCTTTAAATGGCAATTATTATCAATGATAATTTATCATCATTAATTGGACCTGAAAATGTCACTTTTGATTAGATAGACGAGCTTTCCAAGGAGACAGGATGTTTAAGACATTAACATCCCTAATGTTCACCAAGACGGAGGGGCCAAAGTATACGGTCATTTCTTCCTCGAAGGTGAGAATTAAAACGGTCCCAGCTGTCCGTATGGGACCAAACGTTATTTTAGTGTTTTTTCCCCCTTAAATCGATTGGAAGTCTGTTAACCCTAACACTCCTCAGTCCTCCAACAGGTGAAGGATTGAGGAGGGTTAGGGTTAATAGCGAGTCGCTCTTTCAGAATAATTTGGAGAGTATTCTTCCTCAGGTTGGGCCCGAGACCTACACGGATTGTGAATGCACTCATAAATTTGGACGTCCCCAACCCTTACGAAAAAAAGCCTCTTCCCGCAATTCAAAAACTGACACAATTTTTTTTAATTTGTTTTCAGGATTTTGAGGAGCGTCAATATGAGCCTTGCATGTGGGCCGTGATTGATTCCAAGGCAGACACAATCAAGGAGGCTACAAGTGCTGGCTTCCAAAAATTGTTTAAGTACATTTCTGGAACCAACAAAGAAGGTAGGTCATGTCTGGTCCGTATCGTTGGTAATGAAGTCACCTCAGAGCTAAAAGACTACTTTGTTGCACGATTTTGCACGTTGATTGGCTGAATTCTCGAAGGCAGAGTAGTATAGGGTGGATTATTCGCGACAAATACGTACTTCACGCAGTGGTTCATCAGAGGCACATTTTTAACTAGCTGCGTGCTTTGTTACCAGGGCTGAGTATGTCCATGACCGCTCCGGTCATGGTGTACCATGAACCAGGAGAAGTTGGAAGCTGGAAGTCTTTTAAGAAGGAGATCAAGGTTGGTTTTATGATTCCTGATGAACACAGAGAGAAACCGCCTTCGCCGAATGATGACATGCCTATCACAATCAGACAAACACCCTCAACTCGAGTGTATGCCAGGTACTGTTCCCGCCCTCCACTACCCCAGGACGGGCTCATGCATAGTTCATACTTAATTATTTTAAACAAACCCTTATATTTGTCCTTGGACTCTTGAAGTAGTGTTCCTTTGACCCTTAAATTTATGAGTTCAATCGAAGTGGTTCGCTTGTCCCTAGGGAATTAAGAGCAAATACCTTTCATAAAATCTTGTGAAGGAAATACATGTGTACGTCACAGATATGGACGCACACGAAAATGTAAAAAGGGCTTGTGAAAAAGTGTGCTGGGTTGGGAGCAAACTCCAGAAAGCAACGTGTGTCGTAAGACCTGGTTAAAAATAGGATGTAAATGTTAAAACTCCTAAAAAAATTTTATCCTCAGGAAATATGGCGGTTTTTCCAAGGAGGAGGTTGCCTTGGCAGAAGTGGCCAAACTAGGCGAAGCTTTAGGAACGGAACACAAGTACAAAACTGGTTTCTGCTATTTCTGTGGTTATGACAGTCCTATGAAAGTGATAGGACGACGAAACGAAATCTGGTTCATCAAAGACACCACCGAAGGATCTTAAAGATGAAAACAGTCAGGACATGCCAAGAGAGAAGCAAGAAGAACGAAGGAATCTCTGAAAAGAGATTTAAAAAAAACAGAACCCAACATTTTCAATCATCGTGATTTAAAATATATATATATCATTATTGTTTCAATTCAATTCGGTCTTTAGGTGAAGGTTTCTAGTGAGTTGGAGGATTTTGAGCGTTGTTCGGGCCAAGGGCGGAAACAAAATTACATTTTGGGGGAAATTTTTTTCCGGGGCCAAAATTTGGGGAATTCCTTTCAAGATGTAAACTTTTATGGCCTTTTTGAGGGGCGAGCCTAACCGTTCGCACGACAAACAGGTCTGTATGTACGATTTTAGTATTAAGTTTTATGTCGATCAAAGTTTTTCGTCTTTATTCTTTCTTAAAGGTTAAACAGTCACAATTTTTGATGGTTGTATGATATTGAAGCAATTCCTAATCAATTTTTACCATCTTAATTGGAGCTACGAGAAAGTTGAGGACAATCGGAAATAAACTTACGAGTGATCAAGTTGAAGTTGAAATGCCAACTAAACGCATTAATATATTAAATAGAATCGGTGTGCCACAAACAATTAAGCTCGTTAATTAATGGGAAAGTGCATTTTTATTGAAAGTCGAGAAAAGTCTAATAGATTAATGCATGTACATCTTTTTGCTCTAAAGTGTGTACCCTTCCAACGCGCGATGCGCGCACCTGGCCCCCAAAACTTCAAGACGTACATTATCTGCACGAATGTAGGCTGGTTCCCATGCATTCGTTTTATGAAAAGAGTAAGGAAACGGTTCGGGTACCATGCACACATTAGCACAAGCACCGCCGCGGGCATTAAATCAGTCGGATCGTCGTCGTGTTCGGGGGTAAAAGTATCCTTCTGCAGTTACGTGCTGATCAGCGTACCCGTAAGTGTGTTGAATTCCACGTAAATATAAGTTTAAGTGCAATCTTGAACCTTGAGCAAATTTATTGTACTCCATCCTGAGAGTCGATTTGCCTTGGAATAACATCCATTAGGCCTACAACAAATCTGCGCAACTTGGTTATTGCGCTATCATATGGCTATGTTTAGGGTCTACTAAATAGTAAATAAGTACCAATAGGCCTACTTACATGTAGTTTCAGCTATTCAGTTTCAACGAGCAGTGTTGCTTGCTCTATGGTTCAACCAACCATGGCCTAGGAAGGGGAAGCTTTTTGGTTTCTTTAGGCTTGGTATTATTTTCTGAGTTGTTCACTGTCAAGTGTCATGACTAGTAGTAGTACTAGTACTACTTTGTTATTTTTTTGTTACCAAGCAAAGACTTGACATATATTCGAGAAGATACATGTATGTTATGACCAATGATAGAACCATTGTCATGTGAGTCAGCTGTGATACCATAGGTGGCTCAGCACATGCATGTAGGCCGAGATGTTAGGTGTAGAAATGTTGAGATTTTCCTAAAGTCAGATATAAACATAAACCTTGTTTGATGGTACCAAAGTATCATGAAGAGGTTCAGTCTCAAAAAAAAAAACCAACCAGAATCACATGTCAGTAAGAGAGAAAGAATTTTAGATTTCAAAGCAGTTTTAATTTGTGTTGATTAGAGTAAGCGATTATTTTTGTTTCAGTTTTGTTTGTTTTTATGTTTTGTGTAGGTTTTTCTTTTTTTGTTTAGGTTGCATTTAGTGTTGGAACCTCAGAAACCTTCATTGCTATATAACTTGTCAGACTCATGAACATTATTCACATCCTTAATCTTACTTGAATGTGTCAGAAAATGAAAGAAAAAGCAGTTACCGGTACATGAACCCTTCATAAGTAGCTTGCAGAATTCATCCATAATGCCCCAGCAATACAGAGAACAATGCAAAACCAGGGATGTGCTAGACACAGGAGTAAATTATGCAGAGTACATGTACCAGTTGTATTGGCTGGTAAGTCATTGCCTTAGTGTTGTAGTTGAGACCACTTATAATTTATAGATCATCGTCACAAGACCCCATGAGATCGTCACAAAAGACCTTCAAGTCAGTACGGGCGATTCGCAGGAGTGCAGTATTCAAATTACAGGCTATTCAGATGATCTGCAACTAATCCATAGAGGTTATGCGCGGCAGCCATCTTCCTGGTCAGTGCTTTGTCATTGGGGATAATACGAAAGGTCTACTCATGTGTAGCCCTATGACAAAAGCAAAAGGTAGGCAGCGTTGACATCATATTGTGGCCGATACCAATATATCGTTTTTTTGTATGTCGATATTTTTGATATATCAATATTACCAAATAACTACATGTAACATCGGTGATACCGATATCAAACCCATATCAATAACATTGATATATCGACAGTGCTTACTAGAAGATAGCTGCCATGTGTAACCCCGACTCCTTGTAATTTATCACATTGTTAATTGTGTCTGGTCTTGTGTCTGGTCCCATATGTGATGGTCTTGACAGCCTCAACATTGGCTGGTAAATTTTGTTGTTGTGTCTCGACAGTTTATCATCGTTTGTTCATTATGCTTTGATAGATGAAATGCATGGCTAGCCTGGGATGTCAGGAGAGTAACCCCTTCCCTCTTTGTCATATTATTGTTTGTTTTTCTTGGCTACGAAGTCCATGCACTATTTAAAGCAGTATTTTACATGTTGTAAAGTACAAATGTTTTTTTCATTGTAGATTTGCCATGAATTTGTCCAAATTAGGCAACTGTCCAATAAAGACTTTTCCCACATGTATTTGGAGTGAACGAAGAAGATAGTGTTTTAATATGCATGACATTTGACTTTCCATAAACCTCAACATTCCCTTTATCATTGTGCTTACAATTTACAATTCCTAAAGCAGTAGTCATGTGTAAAGACTCCTTTTCATCCCATTGTGTCTCCCCACCATTGTTGACTAGGACAGCGCAACCCAAAGCACACAGTGGCAGTCAACCATTATGTCTCTAAAATCCCTCGTTTATCCACGCAACCCAGATCTGCTGATAGCTTAGTCTATTTGTCAGTCTGGTTGACAGTTTTCTTTGTAATCATGCCCCTGCACAGACGTGCCTTGGGTGTATACATGTACATGTATGTCAAACCCACACACGCTATGCTTATGTTCAGATAGTCTGAGACCTAGTTTTCCTTGTGTTCAATATGAATGCATATTTGTGTGGCTTACCACAGTGATGACTGCGGTTGTTTGAGTTCGTGATGATGAATTAGAAATTGGTTGCTGCTTTATTTATCCTAGCAGCCTATTCTGGGTATGAGTTTGTTTTTCAACCCAAGGGCTTTGGTTTATGGAGGCTTGATGTTGTTGAAGGACAGACTTGTAGCTTTGTTGTGGTTTTGCTTGCTGCAGCTGCTAACAAAACCATATGCCATAATGTCTTGTGCTACCACTAGTCTGTAATCCAAGAAACATTCTCTTTGGAATACAGAGATGCATCATCAGTTCGTGTAAGTAGCAGGATGGAATGAAGCATAAGGCAGTGGATGAGTCTTTGTCTTATATTCATCAATGCCAAATCCCATATGGCAGAACGCTTAGCAGAACCCGGACAACATGACACACCAGGGATCCAATCACCACAGGCCTGCCAGCCATAATCGGATTAAGGCGGCCCCTACAGGGGGCGGAGTCAGAGCAAGGAGGAATGGCATCCATCATCATCAGCAAGAAAAAATTGATTCTCAGAACAACATCCTGAAGAAGTCGGGGGAAGCAACTCTGCAATCAACAAATCGAGAATGGGACTGTGGCATCCCTATTCCTGAACTCTCATTAAGAAGCTGCACCTGCTTGGTTGCCATCTTGTCTCTTTTCTGCTATTTAAACAGTTGCTGTGGCGATTTCGTCTTTGACGATGCAGAAGCAGTGCTTAGCAACAAAGACATTAAGCCAGAGACACCGATCAGTGAATTATTCCAAGATGACTTTTGGGGTGAGAGAATCGTCAAGAATCATAGTCATAAATCCTACAGACCTCTCACTGTGCTATCCTTCAGGTGAGTGTTTTGCAAGTTCAGTTAACAAAGACCTGGGGTCAGTTCCTTTTAGCTTTAAGGCAGGAAATAAGTAAATTACATCTACATGTACTGGTATGTGTCAAGTCAAAACTCATGAGAATTGCTAGACATGGGCTTGTATCTTGTTTGCCAGAGCACTGCTTTTGAATATTTACTGGGGGCAAACTATGGAGACTTTGCAAATTTGAATGATCAATGCTCAATTTTACGTAAAGATTTCTCCGTATTATAGTTCTCCATAACAATTCTGTACATGTAAGAAAGCTCACTGACTAGCGTCCATGTGCCATGAACTTCAATGACTGTTTTGATAAAAATGCAGATTTGGCATAATAAACTCTGATTATCATTTGAAGTTACTCCTTTTTCCGCATGAGTTCATGATCTCTATATTTTTTGTATCGCAGGTTGAACTACATCCTAAGTGGTGGCTATCACCCCTTTGGTTTTCATTTGACTAATGTCATCTTGCACTCCTTCATCAGTGTCTTTTCACTCCGCATCTTCTCCGTCATCTTCAGTGATGCTCATTCTCGTCTTGAAGCAGAGAAGCGTCAACATCAATGTCAAACATTCCCAGCTCCTAGAGCTAGTTTACTGTGTTCTCTTCTGTTTACAGTGCATCCTATCCATACAGAAAGTGTGAGTTTTTGATAGAGATTCCAAAGGGTTGTTCTATAAATTTGGCGTCCAAAAGTGTGACATTCTTGTCCCTGTTGCATCTGACCCGTTTAATTTGACCAAAAAGACATTGAAATTTACTTCAAACTGTTTTAATTTGTTGGGCAGGTAGTCTGGATCAATTAATCACTTTTGTGTTGTAAACTTACAAAATCACCTGTTAGATGTGACAGGGACATGAAAAAACTGGACCCCCGTGTCGTAGAATAACCCAGAAATAAGTAAAGAATCTGGCTGTGTTTGAATCAACTGGCTGTGACTATGAGTGATACACGTGTCGATGGAAAGTAGCCAAAGCTGCTAGGCTATGACCTCCTTTGCTACAGTTCCCCCTTGCAATCAAAACGCTTGCATACAGCACTTATCTTCATAGATTTTGCAATCAGTGGTGTGTTACAAGAGAGATATTATTTCCTTACACTCTTGTTGGCAACTTGGCATGATACCCCTTTTACCGTTCTTATGATTTCTTAAAGAAAACTCCTTTTTAAAATTTGTCCAATTTTCCCACTTCCAGTTTTCTTGAGAGGACTTGTTTTGGTCTTAAAGGTTATTATCATCTTTGTTGAAATACAATGTGTTGCACTGCTTTTGCTGACGGGCCATTGCACTGCATCCAAGCATGAATTTCATCCAAAATGTCACAAGGACAGGACTGAGATGATCAACTGTGTCTATTTGTTGTTGGTTAACGATATCGATCATGTCTGTTCACCAGGTGGCTGGGATTGTGGGCAGAGCTGATCTGTTATCCACTGTATTCTTCTTTCTGTCCTTTTATGTCTATGTTGCTGCATTGCAAAAAGGTAGGAAAGATCGGCAGTTTGAATGAAGTAAACTTGTGAAATAGCTTGACAGACAAATATTATGTAATTGCAAATTTTGCAAAACTTTAAAATGAAAACACATTCATGTGCAGAAATATAATACAACATTCTCTCGCAAGTTAATAAAACCGCTCTGTAAATGTACTGGCAAGAATTACACAAAATGACGCTGATTGTGTTGATGTATTTTTTTCCCTTTTGTATTTATTGTTCAGACGCTAGTCATTCTCTTCTGAAGTTATCATGTTCTATATTGTGTTGTGCTGCATCAATGCTGTGTAAAGAACAGGGCATTACTGCCCTTGTAAGTATTGGTTTTTTATTTCAGTTTCTCAACACTTATCGGAAACTTCAGTCATTGATAATTGCAAGTTTTTAAAAATTTTCCTAATCTTTTCATGTATTGACATTTCCTTTGTTTGTGTACTGAGTTTCGTCCTCAGGTCATCAAATGACTGTTTATTTGGGCTTTTTAGGTTTCACTGTGTAGATTGATTTTGCCTTTTCCAATGTGTCCTCTTGGATTATCAGTATCGTTTGGCCATTCGTTCCTGAATGTGCTTTTTTTCCCTCCTTCTCCAGGGTGTCTGCATAATTTATGACATCATCGTCAACTGTCAAGTAGACATTCTCCAAGTCTTCCAGAGGTTCCTAATTCAAACCAAATCCCATGCTCCTGGTCATCCAAAATGGCTGCCTGGTCTAGTGACCAGACTCTTTGTAGTGTCTCTGTGTGCTTTAGTACTGTTGGTTGGGAGATTTATCATAATGGGCAGTGGGCCACCGCCATTTCAACCGTCTGACAATCCTGCGTCATTCGCTGATGGATTTCTGACGCGGGTCAGTCGATTAATCTGTATTATTATAAGGGCAGGTTTATGTTGTAATAGGGTTGGGTTTAAGGTGAGAGTGTGGAGGGGGGCGTGGCATGAGGAAGGTTGAGGGATGGATAAAAATGAGTTCAAGTTAGGTTTTTTAGGGGGGTGAAATGTGATAAATCATTTTGTGTGCCTAGACTGCCATGGAGTAAGCCTTGTGTATACTTTGTTTTTTCATTGCCCCTTTTGTGGAATGCAGAAACCGTTTACAGTAATGACTACCCGACATGACTCAAAAATTATTCTTATTTCTTGTGAAGAGAGTTCCTTAGAATTGTTGATAATTTGTTGGTTCTTCCAACTCTTACTAACGAAAAATTCTCTACTTTTCCCATTCTGCAGGTGACAAACTATAACTTCATTTATGCGCTCAACCTGTGGTTGTTAATCTTTCCTCACTGGCTTTGCTTCGATTGGTCAATGGGATGTGTGTCTCTGATTCAATCAGCCACTGACATCAGGCTGCTTGCCCCAATTGCATTGTGGGTACTGTTGGCTTGTCTGATCTACAGGTGTGTGGTTGGTCAACCCAGCCACAACAAAAGGTTAGCATCTTGGTGGTTCTGCCCCAATTCCAGTGCAGCTGTGCATGGGCAATTGAGGGCGCACTGTTACCTGATATCCATGTACTTCCCTTTGGGTGGACATGCAGCCATGGTTACATCGTTTACATTTGTACAAGTAATGTCATGCATACCATTCCAATTACTTTAATGTGCGAGTTCGGGGGGAGGGGGGCATTATTGTAGTCTGCTCCCTGTTCCTCTGATTTCATGCTAATTCAGGATAATTATGGAGTCAGGAACTAGGTGGTCAACTCCGCCTTTTTGTTGCCAACAGGTGAGGGAGCACTTTTGCACAGAACCTGAAGAATTCCAGAAATGCTTTAAGTCAAAAATGGAGGCTTGTCAGTCTTCCTGTCTTAAATTATTAAGCTCTAGCACCACCATTCTTTGTACATTGAGTAACATTTTCCTGTAATTCATCTTAAATTCCAGCTTATTCATTATCCATTTTCTTTCAATATTCTTGTCAGGGTTCTTACAATGGCCTTAGCCTTCCTCATCATTCCCTTCCTTCCTGCCTCCAATCTCTTCCTCCGAGTTGGCTTTGTCATCGCTGAGAGAGTCTTGTATCTGCCCAGTCTTGGCTTCTGTATGCTACTGACGCTGTTAATCAATAAGATTTCATGTAGTCCTGTATCTAAGAGGGTAAGTGAGGAATATCAGATTATCTTTCATGCTTAAAAAAGGTAACCTGATAAACGAAATAGGTATTACAAGATTTTCTGTTCTGGAACTGTAAGAATAGTTCTTGTTAGGAAATGGTAGCTTTTACTTGACTTTCCTTTATTTGACAGGCTGTGCGAGGTCTCTTGGTTGTTCTGATGGCTTGCTATATTGGTAGATGTATCCAACGCAACCAAGATTGGATGACAGAGGAAAAACTTTATAAAGCTGGATTGGATGTGTGTCCACAGAATGCCAAAGTGAGCTGCATGACAAGGAGTTTTGCAGTATTAAATCTTGAGTTATCAGATATCAGTGGAAAGGAATTATAGTTAATCTGCTTCTTCCTGTTGGACAAAGTCTTGGTCATATTGGGTCATAAGTTTAAAAGTCATTGAAACACTGTATCCAATCGTCAACGTGGCAATATTGAATTGACAAGGGAAGATTTGTTTACTTAAATAAAACCTAAATTTAAAGTGTCGAATCTTTATGAAAAAAATTGTAAGGGACGTATTGCTCACTTGTATGAAAGAGATTTGTCACTGCACTCCAAGTGGTAGGGGGCTACAGTTTCTGTGTTGGCACATTTTTCTATTCACGGACATATCTCCCTGTCCACAGGTTCATTACAATATTGGTAAGAATGCTGCTGATCGTGGTAACTTAGAAGAAGCTATCACATACTACAGACAAGCACTGAGGTATGACAGCCAATGTGTTTGTGAGAAAAGCCTTGTTTGTGTTCACGATGCGCAATCACCTCGCCTGTTGGGAAGCCAGCCGTGAATTTTATATCTTCTGCCAAACGAAATTGAGTAGATAGTAACTGGTGACAAAAACTTCATTTGTTCTCATTGGTGAGAGATAAATACCACATTGATGATACTCTGTAGCTGTCTGCAACCTGGTTACAGGTTTGGTTTTTCTTTTATTTTCAATGAAATTGGAACTGGGAATTTTTTAGCTTTTTCTTTATTTGATTTTTAAACCGGATTGGAATACATATTTTTTACACCGGACATGTCTTTTGATGTCTTCTTATTCATTTTGCAGTTTGAATCCTGTCTATGATCAAGCTATGAACAACCTTGCCAACCTGCTGAAAGATCAAGGACGTCTTACAGAGGCAGAGAAGCTGCTTCAAAAGGCAGTCCAAATCAAGTAATCTCAGTGAAGGCTTTGAGATTGGGTTAAAAGGGTGTAACACTTTCCAGAAATGCACACAGGATTTTGTCTCTGAATGTCAACGTTTGAATATTTCAGTAGATCATTCAGATGGCCCTGAATCCAGCCCAGCATGCTAGTATTAATTATCTGGAGACTTTAGGATGTTTAACGCTGATGACAGAACTAGTTATTGGTTGACTTTGATGCTTGATTCCAAACCAAGTATTTGATTTATTCTTGTATGTTTCCAAAGGTGGAAGGGGATTGAAATCAACTTCTGCTAAATCTTTCTGATTAACGTTGCCTGGAAGAAATACATTTCTATACTGCAGATTATTATGACATGTTCTCCCTGGAAGCTAGGCTATGTCTGAATCCAGTGTCTAAAGCCAGATGTCTTTGCTAGTTACAAATACATAGGCAGGTGTTGGCAGGAGACATCATTGCACATAGTTATGGAAGCCCATTGCTATAGACTGGATCAACCAAAATTAATGGAGTAGGTCCTTACTCAAATTGTTTCATTCCTTTAATCCTAAATTTTGTGTTACCTTCCAAAATGAAGATTTGAATTATTGTGTGTCTTTTCCTTTTACATCTTTGTCTCTCAGACCACAGTTTGCAGCAGCTTGGATGAACCTGGGCATTGTTCAAGCTGTTATCAAGAAATATACGGATGCTGAACAGAGCTACAAGACAGCTCTGTTTCATCGTCCTAGATATGCAGACTGTTACTTCAATCTTGGTAACATGGTAAGGAAGTTGAGCAGTGTGTCATCATGAGTTAGATAAAAACGAAAAAAATTTTAAAATGTGATAGACAAGAGAAAGTGTGGACAGCAAAACACAAATAAACTAGTTGTATCATTCATGTTTACTTGGAAATAGATTGGAAATAAAAAATTAATGAAAATTGATAAATGATGCTCATTGACTGACTGATATGGACGCACACATAGGTAAATGTGTCCATAAGGAAAGAAATGCACTTGAATTTTAACGACTGAATTCTGCTGAATACTGTAACCAAAACATGACGCTTGTCTACTGCCAAACTTAATGCAGTGATTTCAGTTGTACTTGGAATTATCTTGAGATATCTTGTTTATATATGATTCATTCTTTTTACCTACAACTGAATTTGTTTTCCCCCAATTTGATTGATAAATGTACTCTAACGTTTCCATGCTGATATTCTCATCTTTTCATGATTCAAAGTGGATCACCTTCTGACATTACTTTTTCAGTTCATCTTTAATTCATTTACTTTTTTACTTCTGCTGAAAAGTTTTTGTGTGTCCAAGATTCATAGCACTTCAAGACAAATTTGGCAACCCTTATCATTTTTATCCAAAATGTTGTTTTCCTTGGAAAATTGGTTTCAGTTAACCAGATGTGTAGTTTTCCTTTCTTTGTCAGCAATGCATGGTGTTTCATAGTTTAGTTTAACTCACGGTGCATGTGATTGGTGTTTTTTGTTGCTAGCATGTTGAATTTAATTTTCTGTAGAATAGTTCTTGATTTGGTAGAGGTTGTAGTAGTGTACTTCATGAACTTTTGGGTGTGTTCGCTAAATGAAAACAGATGGTTCGATCGATGAGATTCAAGAAGCACTTGTAGAGGAGACGTTGATGTATTTTTTTCTTTCTGAAGAGCTTCGGATAACAGCTTTGGTTTTTTTTTTCAAAAATCTGTCCTTTTTAAGAAAAAGTGTCAGTGATAGTTGGTTTATGGTGATGAGAAATCAATTCAATTTTAGTTGCATGGCTTCATGTTAACAATTGATTAATTTCTTTGAAGTGAGCTATTTGATGCTGTTTGGCTTGTTGATTTGCCTCCAGCCATTCTTGAGGTGTGCTTGGAAACTCTCTCTCATCACTGATATCCAGAGTCTAAAAATATTCCCGAGTTGGAAGCAGTATCCAAATTTCTTGCTAGATTTACTGAGACAAGGCTGGTTTATGTATAAGTGACAGGTGCAAACTTTCCTAGTTGACAAGAGAGAATTCTGTTCATCAGCACTCAGGTTAACAATCAAAATTCTAAATTCCTTTCTGGACAGTTGGGTACTGCTGGTTCTTAGCTGCCCTTCTCAGTATTGAAATATTCCACATTTCCCAAGGAATTTTTGACAATATTTGGTTTGATACATGGTTTCCTGCACGCACAAGTTTGGAATATTACAAAGGAATAAGGCTGATCATGATTCTTCCTCAGAAGAATGGGTGGAGTCTCTACTCCCCTTGTCAGTCAAGTTCCATGTTTTTGGTTTTGATGGTAATCACAACTATCTATGATGAAATGAGTGTTTCCTGGCCTGCATGGAATGGACAGTTGTACGCTGCATTTTCATTATTTCTCATTTTTCCTCTCAACATCTTCATTGCATGATTTGCTCGGGTTCTTGTAGTACTTGGAACTCCACCGAGATAATGAAGCTTTAGGGGCGTGGTTGAACGCAACATCCTTCCAAAGTGACCACGCTCAAGCCTGGAGTAACGCCGTGGTCCACTTAGAATCACTTGGTGAGGCTTGGTGTTGTGGAGAGTGACTTTTAAAGGCACTCATTTCTGATCGGTCAGGTTATGGGTCAAGCTTCAGCGGTCAAAGGTTTCCTTGGGGTCAGGTCATCTTTTCAAATTCTCCTTGCTTGAGATATCTGTCTTTTTCATGACCACGTTCTTTTTTTCCTGAATCATTTTCTAAGTACTCGAGCTTTGGAATCATTTTGGTATCTGGATAGTTTACGCATGTGTACGCTTTCATTAGATAGAAAAAAAATCATTAGAAATTGTCCAACTTAGTGTAGAAGTGCTTTAGATGGTATAGCTTTGTGCATGGGTAGATGAGTGCTAAGCAATGACGATTAAGACTATGGCTTAAAACTTAATTCAAAACTGAATATGCTTGTCATAAAAATTTCCACAAACAGATTTTTATTTCTTAAACACTTTGAGTGATCTTTGAAATACAGTATATATGCAAAACCATAAACAAAAAAGGGCGAGAAACATGAGCGCATCAATTACCAGCCTCCCCCCCAAAAAAACCAGTCCAAACCCAAAATACTCTCCTGATCCAAAGCTAAACACTCTACATTATTGTCTCCATGGTGACAGCAAATTACCACCACCAACCTCCATGTTTTCACTCTTATATGTAAGTGATATACCCCTCTTTTTTATATAAAAAAAATCTTCACTGGAATTTGTTTCTATGTGACTATAAACAAAATAATATGGATGTTAATCCTATCATTGACCTGGTTAGATGTTGTGAATATAGGGTGCCGGTTAATTGACTAATTATGATAAATCAACAGAATGCTTGGAGTTGTGTTGCACTTTGAATAAGGAAAGCTTTGAACTGTGAGGGTTTAAGGTTTGTAGACCAGCTAAGGTCATTTCCTGTGTAGCATTCCATCATAATCTTTATAACCCATGATTTCCCTTTTGGGAACTAACAAGTTGCTCTAACAATGGCCTCCCTCGCACAATATGCAAATGAGCACTTTGTACTTGATGTGCAGTATCTTGACACTGGTCGCCATGACAACGCCTTGAAAGCTTGGTATAAGGCTACGTCACTTCAGCCGGGTCATGTTAGCGCCTGGGCCAACATTGCCACGTTACATGAGCGTGCTGGTAAGATTTAATGACAGCCATCACTGTTGCTTGTGAAGAAACAAAACATACAAAAGCTCTCATTTACTGGTAAACTTGGCTCTTTGCAGGTATGAAGGTTCAATCATATTCATGATAATTCTGTCATTATGTTTTGAAAGGTGGAATGGATTCATGAATATGTAGATTATTGTTTGTATAACCTTTTGATTATTGGTTGACCGAAAGCAGGTAGGCCATGGTGCTGTCTTTGTTCAAGCTCAAAACCTCTTTTTAGTGCTTCATTGGAATCTGCACTGCATATACATATATTCATTGATATAACCATTATAAATACTGTTTGATCTGTGCTTTACAGTTGTGGGTTTTATTTTCATTGCATATTCAAAGCTGTTGGGACAAAGTGAATTTAAATTTGTCCAGTGTAGTTGCTTTAGCTTTGTTAAATGCCGTTGCTTTCCACAGTCAGTACATGGTAGACATGCTGGCTCAAGCTCTGCATTTGAAATTTAGCACAAAAGAATGAAAGTTACACAATCATTTTGCTCAATCTGGATCAGAGAAAAGTAGAGTTCTTGACTGACAAATGTTTCATCGCTCTGACTGCATATCGACCTGTGTTTAAAGCATTGTCATGCCTTCTCTCTACATCTTAATCACTGCTCATTTGTCTCGTATTTTGAAATCTTCCCATCTCGTTCAAGTCAGTTTTCCCCATCCAGCAGCCTTGCTTCCTTTTCCTTTGTCTTGCTTCCCTGCTTTCAAAAAAAAAATGTGATTGACCTTTGCCAGTCATCAAAGACTATTTTTCTGCCCAGTTTCTTGATCATTTCTCTTGTTTGCTTTTACCTTCCGTGAATATTTCTTGGCCTGAAGTCCAGTCTCAAGGTTTTATTTTAGTGGAAGAAGGAAGCTATCCCCATTGTACATTAATCTTTTATTGTGTTATTTACTTTCAACAATGTGATTAAGGCCAGTCATGAAAGAATGGCTTCAAAATCATCTCCTGGGCTCATTTTTTTCAACTTTCTCCCATCCACTTACCTTTTTTGTTCAAATTGTGGAAAGTGGCATATAAATCACCACAATGTTCTTTGGCTCATGAGCTTTGCACCTCTTTGCATATTTCAAGATTGAGAAGTTACACTTAGATTGGTTCTCTGATGAGAAATCTATCTGGACATCATTAGGTCGATATGAGACAGCCATATTGGTTGCCAAGGAAGCCATGAAGCATGTTCCACAGGAGCCATCCATCTATTTTGGCCTGGGGAACGTACTGGGCAAAGAGGGACGTTATCAGGTTAGAAATGAGCAGGTTCTTCTCACATCAATACCAAAACCTCAGAACTGGTGTCAGCTGCATCACTTTCAGAAATTATCAAATTGTTAGAAATTGTTTCTTGAATTTTAAAAATCATTAGTGATTTTTAACATTTTTAATAAATCTCACTGATTTTTCAACATTGAGATTAAAACTTTTGAATATTATTTCAGTTATAATTTCAATTATGGTACATCTATTCAATATTTTTGTTTCTTTTTTTTTTAATCTGATTGAAGCTTTTATGTTGATTTTCCTACAATCAGGAGGCCGAAGAAAACTTCTTAAAAGCGATTCGCCTGAACCCCATGATGGCTAATTACCATGGCAACCTCGGTGTATTGTACCATCGCTGGGGAAAGTTCAGTGAGGCTAGAAAGCATTACTTATCAGCACTGGAGTTAGTTCCAGAATCTGACAATGTTCGAGAGAACTTAAAGAAACTTGAGCAAACCATGGCAAAGAAGAAGACCAAGAAACATACGAGAAATTGAACTCTTTATCATCAAGACTATTGCTGAGAGGACCACAGCATTGCAGTCAGGTGCCATCATCAACAACTTTTCAGCTCGTCACAGTTTTACACAAGGAGCTTGTGTAGCTGCCAAAGTCATTCCTCATTGATCAGGTACAAGCTCCTACAATTTTAGTTTTCCATTAAGCAAGGAAAATTGAAAGAAGCAAGATAAGAACCTGTAGTTGTAGAAAAACTGTACCAGCATATCTTACAACTATGCGGTAATTTCTGAATTTCACTATTCTTCACTTCAGGAAGTTTCTTGTAAATTTGTTGAGGCTCTGCGGTTCTATTTTTGCAGAAAGACCTGTACCCCATTTTCCTCCATCAGCTGTGTATGGGTAACAATTACAAAAGAGACCAAATTACTTCAAAAAAGCTACCAACTCAGAATTATGACATGAAATTACAGTTTTTCATATCTAATCATGAAAATATCTAAACAAAGTATGGTTTCTGTGCTGCCACTTCTTAATGTTTGTATTCATAGATGCAATTACTTTGTTGTGAACTAAGAATTGATAAACTGAGTAATGATAACTTTAAATAGAAACTTTTAACAATACTTGAACTCTTGTAGAATTTTATCAATTTCAATTCAGCCCAAGTGGAACATGTGGAAGTATATTTTTAAAAAAGTGAAGAAGTTCTGAAATTGCAATGCGAACAGAAGTTTTATCAAAAGCTGACACAGGGTCAGTAATTGAAAGGACACAAGTCTTGACAAATGGGGAAAAATTCGCAATATTTTATTAATCTCTCGATAATGCAATTTTCTATATCTCTTCTATTTAATAATAATAACTAATAATAACTTACCAGCTGTGTTTGAAAAACTGTAGAATATAATATATTTCCTGAATTCTTTGTTTTGACTTGAAAGTTTCCATTAAGCTGAATGAGTAACCATAACAACATTACACTGCCGTTAATGTAATATCGAATGTATTCTCGTGGAAATAAAATCTTTAATTACTCAACTTGGTAAATAAATCTTATGGAGCTCACAGAGTTTAATTTTTTAGTTGTTTCATTACAGACGTTCCCTTCCAAAGGTGGATCAGAAACCACTTTTTTGGGTGACGAACACCAACCAGCACAAGTGGGGAAAAAAATACATTTCAAGAGCCTCCCAAAAATTGGACATTGTGAGAAGATTAAGAGGTCATTCAATAATGTGACCAGCTTGGCATATTATGTGAAACTGCATCCATTTGGATTGACTTAAATCAGAAATGGGCAAGATTAAGAAAGCAACCAATGATGGCGTGTGGTTCGCTAATGGTGCCGACCCATATTAACTCAAGTGAGAATTTCTGGCCAGCTTATTAGCATTAAAAGTGCCCCCCCCCACAATATTTTGAAAAGAGAATGTGTGACCCCCAAAATGGTGAGATTATGTAAATCGTTGCCAGGATCAACTCCCTGGGGCTTTGAGCTTTCATATGAAAATGGCTCAAAACTTCGGTTGAAAAATGGTCCTAAGTGCCTCTGAAAGTTGGGGTTGCCACTTGAAAAACGGCCGGCTGCAATCTGACTTAGGAAAAATCACTTTTCGGGGGATGATTTTGTTTTAGGGGAATGATAAAAAATGTAATTGGTTAAACCACAAAAATTGAAAAGAAATTGAAAGATTAGGGACCAGACAATAACTTCATTTGTGTTTCGGAAATCTCAGGGACGTTGGTATGCATGTCACGTTATTGGGCCCTGAACAGCGCTGATTTTACGCTGTTGGGGCTTGCATTTGTTGACTGTACCCCTTATGTGCGAATAATAATACCCGTTAATTGTAAAGAACGCCCTCAATGGTCCAAATGTGGAAATTACAGTGTTGACCAAAGATCGTGTTGACTCGACGGTGCATGTCACGTCAGCGTTCGACGGATTGGGGTTGAAAACCTGAATACTTATTTATTTTTCGGGCACACTTCTCTCTTTCATCAATTTATTTTACTTGAAAAACGTTGTATTCAGGTAAGACCTTCCTTCATTCAAATGATACCAAGTCTTAATATAGTTGTGCTAATCAATCTGGAAGTTGTATGCAATGGTTTGGCTAGCACTGTAGCAGTAGCAGACGACAAATTCATTCATTCAACTTGAAATCAATGTCAACATGGTCAATGACAACGTTCAATGTGCATCATAACTCTTGTTGGACTGGTATTAGGCCTATGAGTCGTTGTTTCTTGTGATTCCCGTTTTTAGTTGAAATAAATATAACACAGCCTACCTGTAAGTGTATCCCTGTTAAAAGCAGCGTGATGGATGAAAATAGACCCAGTGTATGTGTACTTTGTAGGCCGGTGTTGATGGATACTGAACCATGCTGAATAAACTTTCTAAATTTGAATTTTGATTCTGTTTAATTACTGTAGGCATAATATGATACCAGAAGAATTTACTGTGTCATGAGGCACTTATTGGTGGAAGATCAAGATAACCATGGCAACTACGGATGAAAAAGAAGCTCCAAATTTAGTAGATCTTGTGATGATGTCAGCCGAGGAGACCAGCAAACATACTCCCAGCAATGCTAACACAATCACTCACGCTGAAGACCTCCACATTTCCTCTGATGCTGTGGGTGTACCTTGTGATAAAACAGAGCATGGTAACATGGACAGAGTTACCATGGATGATCCAGTGGCTGAAGACCACGATGATGAAAACTCCTCAAAGCAAGAGGAGACAGAGGTCTGTACGAGGGAGCATATTTCTCCCACAGAAACCCCAGAAGAGGGAGTCCAGACACAAGACCAAATGAGTGAAGACACAAAAAGAAGTCAGGCTTTTGAGATTAACAGTGAATGCGTTGCCATGGAAACAGGATTACAGGAGGATGAGATGAATCAAAATGGAAGCGAGAAGGAAAGAGCAATAACTGATGAAATTTCTGAACAGGCAGATGCTATTGATGAAGAGTAAGTTTCCTGCTTGTCAGTTAAAAAACACGGGTAATCTTTGAGGGTGGGGCTACAGTTTTCTCTTTGGAGGTGGAAGAACACAAACACAAATAATGACAATTTAATTGTCTAAATTGCTTCACTTATTAAATCCTCGCTAGATGTCCTTCCTACGTGCCTGATTATCAAAAAGTTCCATATCAACTCACTGGAGCTTGGCAGGACTTCAAACACTCCCCAGAGAACTTCCTCAAAGGCTGCAAATGGTAGGTTATTTAGAGAGTCTTTTAGTGGATTGTGAAGCTCAGTTTAAGAGGCCACGTTTTGATCCTTGCCCATGAAGGCAATTGGAAAGCACTCACAGTTTGTTAGTAAGACACTCAGGAGGTGTTTCCTTGTTTGGCTGAACAAGAAGGAAATCTTTGGCCATGCTAGATGCCTCAGCAGATATTGTACTTGAAAATAGAAATTTCTGGGTGTTGGGGAATGTGGGGGCTTCAATCTGCATCTATGAGCTTCTTTTTGGGAGGAGGGGAAGGGCAGGGGGCGGGAGATAATGGCGACGTGCCAATTCGTGGTGAAAGATTCTATGATTGGCGTAACATTTCTTTTTCCATCTGTCATTATTGCTAAGGTCTCCTGATGGCTTGTGCGTATTGACCAACAGTGATGACAATCAACTCCGACTCTTCAATCTTCCTCCAGAAATCTACTCTTCCAACTACAAGAGGAACCCATTCCAGAACTGATGTCAGTGCTGAATATTCATGAGGGAGAACTCATCTATGACTATGCATGGTTTCCTGCAATGAGGTCTGACCAACCAGAAACATGCTGGTAAGCCATTTATATAAAAAAAACCTAATATTCACGTTGTGAAAACTCATTAAAGCTATCAAACTTCCAACCAGTTAGGTAATATTCTTCTATACAGGTGGATGCATATAGTGTATTGTTAATTACTGAATATTCATAGAGGTCATGCATTATGGTTATGCATGATTTAGATTGTCTCCTTGCTTGTTTCTATCTCTCAGTTTTGCAAGTACGTGTCGAGATCATCCGATTCATTTATGGGATGCTTTCTCTGGGGAGCTTCGATGTACATACAAACCTCATAACCACCTGGTATGTAAAAGCTATCATGTAGTATGTCTATATGTGCTCAGATATATCAGCTGAACATTCATAGTTGTCATTAACCTTTGCAACTTCTCTTGTAAACTACCAAAGCCGTAATTTTGAAAACCATTCATTTCTCTCTCGACAGCACTGTCCAAAGTGCTACAGGCATTATTCAAATCCAGAGAAATGTAATTTATCCTGGATACATCAAGCATGTTTTAAGTTGTTGGGATCCACATCTTATTGAATAAATTTAATGTATAGAGTTTATATTTCTCTCGTTGTATATATTTCATTTTTTGATCAAAATTATAAGCATGACTAACTAAAACAGCTCACCAGTTATCATCTGAGGATATTTGCTTTCTAGCAATTACACTCTAAGATTTTTGTTTCTTTTTAGGATGAGATGGCTACTCCACATTCCCTGGCTTTCTCAACAGATGGAACCAAATTGTACTGTGGCTTCAATAAAATGATCCGAGTGTTTGACATGGACAGACCAGGGAATACGTGTGAAGACAGACCCACCCGAGGTGAAACACAATCCTTTAATGACATAACTCAATGTTAAAAGGTGTCCAGCATCTTGTTTTGGATGTATCTGAGGGGGAGTCCAGTCCAGTGTGGTGGGCAAGAGTGAATATCAGCAACTTATTCATTTCATTCATCAGATTACAGTGATTGTACTATCAGTGATGTGATTACCATTTTGTTCAATAGATAAAACTTCTGGCCAATCAGGGATCATCTCCTGCTTTGCTGTTAATTCAGATGGACTCTATGCAGCTGGTTCCTATTCCAAATCTAGTAAGTTTGTTCGCTGACTAGCCAGTAAATTTGTTCTCTTGCCTGCTGTTCAGAATCTCTTGGCCTTTCGTGTCCTTTTTCATGGCTCTTTGATGGTTGATTGTGGCTGATTTGGTTTTACAACATAACACTGACGCCAATCAGTGTTTTTGTTTAAAGGGTTGTTCATGCAGGTTAATAGGGATATGATCGAATTCAACTTATAAGTTGACTGAGGCATTCATGTTACAGGGCCACATAACCAAGATTTTTGATTGGTGTATATTTCAGTTGGCTTATATGCAGAGCCAAGTGGGTCCATGATATGCATGGTTCAGGGCCAGATGGGAGGAGTTACTCATCTCATGTTCTCACCAGATAGCAACCGGTTGTACAGTGGAGGCAGAAAGGTAAACCTTCATCCGACTTTGAGCAATTTTTACCTCACCGGGGCAATCTTTATTGATAAAAGTTGCACAAGTTGATCATTGGGAATGTTAACTTCAGAGTATTAGAATTTGTGACATCATCCAAGTTATGAAACGCTAGGTAGGATGTGTGTCATGGATTCCAAGTTGAGAATTACAACTGTTCTGAGCTGGCCCTCTTTGCTCACTGGAGACTGACATGGCCTGATTATTGTTTTGTTTGTTTTTCCAAGGACCCAGAAATCATTTGCTGGGATATGCGCAATCCAGGCAGAGTTCTCTTCAGCTTAATGAGAGACGTTACCACAAACCAGAGGATGTACTTTGACTTGGATAGGTAGGTGTAATTCAACAAGCAACCTCGGATGCAGTTTAGCCAAGATCCGAGGGATACGCTATGGCAGTATAAACATAAATGTGAAGTCCATGCAAGTCCCAAACCTGCCATAATAAACTCAGGGCTGGACCCCTGACTCCAGTCTGAAGGCCTTGTAGTTTTGTGTACAGAGAGGCTATGGCTGGAAATAATATGTGCACCTATGGAAGCCATAGCCTTACCTCTGCAGCCACTTCCCATAGACACAGGTGTTATCCTTAGATATAACCAGTTGATGTGGATGAGGCCAGAGCCAAAGACAAATCTTAGGTTTTAAAAATGATGCACATTGGTTTCATTGCTGAATTGCTTATGTGTTTTCAGCACTGGTCAGTACCTTGTGTCTGGTAACCAGGATGGAACGGTCAGTGTATGGGACACCAGCCAACCACCAGTCACTGAGGGGTCAGCAGGAGATAGTATTATTGACCCAATACTACGTTTCACTGCTCATAGTGATGCGGTCAATGGAGTAAGGTGGGCGCTGAAGCTAACGTTTGCTCTTAGTGTTTGTATGAGAACGTTGTAGTTTTTGTCATGTTTTGTCTTGAGTTTTGTGAAATTTTGAGTAAATTTGAGCAAGCTTGTTAAGTTTAAAGCTTTAGAAAAATCCTTACTGGACAGTCTGAGTACCAGCGATTCTCCATCACGACTCTTCACTTCAAAACATTGTGGGGAAGTTAAGGAAAAACATTTTGTTCTGTTATAAAGGATATCATCGTAAGCAATTAACAAATTTCATCTTATTTTTCAGTTTGAATCCTACCTTGCCTATCATGGCAACGGCTTCTGGGCAACGTAAATTTCCTGTTCCCATGGCAACAGATGACAGCGATGAAGATATGTCTATGTTGGAGGAATTGAAGGAGGACAACTCCTTGAGACTTTGGTATCTCATGCCAGCAAGTTGATCCCGTATCAGATTGAAGCTCACCGTTAAGATTCTAATATTAGCATTTTCTCATGACCTGCAGCCATCGAGCAATTATTCTATCATGAGAGTCATTTTGCCTACAGGCTGCAGTCTGGCCTTAAGATGAAGTCATTTCTAGTTGATCATTAATTCCTCACATTGCAAGTACTCCTACTATGCCCTAAGGTTAGAGTGGCTTACGGATTAATCTTTGATGAGAAGTTTGAAGGACATTGCCAGGTGTAGTTGAATGGGGAGTCAGCTTCCTCTTTCACAAACAAAGCAATCTTAGACCAGGAGGCAGATGGCACATCAGGACATAGAGCAGTCAACACCAGTGGCCTGATTTAACAGTGCAACAGTATCTGTAAAGCTATTTTCCTTTTCCATCATAATGTCATAACCTAACGAATGGCTTTTGTACAAGTTTTCTTGTTTTGTATGTGTAATACACAATATTTTTCCATGTTTTGGGCTTCATCTCATATTTCATCTTCAAATTGTCAATCATGTGATATTTATATCTGTATTTCTATGAGTGAAAAAATCAAAATGAATCCCTTTTCATGGTTGGCACTGGTGATTGTCAAGACATTGAATCTTATTGTTAACGATAGCAGGAAGTTATGTGAAAAATGAAACAGGCTTATTGGATATGGCTACTTGATTCATAGTATTACTTACTTTCAAAATAGACTTTTCGTTTGGATTTATGGGCGAAAGCATTTGTTTTTCAAAAAGTGAACTCAATTTTTGAAGAACTTTACTCTCAGACTGAGAAAATACAACCAGGAAGTTAACTGAAAAGTCACTCACAGGGCAGTCGTTTTTCATAAATGTAAATTAATTTTACTGTGGGCGTTTGAGGTTTGACTTTTATTTAACATTGATTTTTCAACCTAGAAATATATGTAAAATTACAAATAAATTAGAGCAAAACCAAAACCGTTTAGAAAGTGGACATTATTCTGAAGAATTTATCCCACTTGAATCTTGTTTTGATCTAGAGTGTACATCAATCATAAGCACATAGACCAGATGATTATTAATCACACACATCACCCCGTGGCTAGAGTAACCTCTCCGATATGTGTATTTGGTCGAGCTCCAACCCTCATACCGTGAAGTACCCAGCATGACATTTAACATGCTTAGCCCTACCTCGCCTCGTTAGCGTGCCGTCTACAGCGTCACCCCAACCCCCTTGAGAGCGACGGCCTTAGCTAGCTACACCCAGGGTTGGATCATACCCACTTACATGGGTGCTAGAGTGGCCTCTGACGTACACAACAACCTTTCGCTTTTCGTGACAGATTTCCTGTATTACAAACCTGGTAGAACGCACGCTGCCTTTTTTTTATCTCTGTGTTTAAAAAAAATTATAAATAGGTCACGTTAAGCTCTTTTGGGCGTCAAGAAAATACATGTAATAACGACAGAGCGCTTGCGCCTGCTTGCTGTACCCTGTCTTTTTATAACGTGTCACGTTGCGCTTTTGGATGAATTACTTGTATCGTTTCCAGGAAAACGTTGTTATTTCGAGGTTGGGTCATTAAAATTGCAATTCCACTGAAAAAGAAAATGAATGCTCAGTGGCCCTATTGTCTTTTTTTAATTGGCTATTTTTTGCATACTTTACACGCATTGAGCTTTGGAGACATACTTTAGTTTACGGCATTTTCCGTGTACATTTCTCAGACACCTCTGCAGTGGACAGGTTGTGGGGACAGGTTGTGAGGACAGGTTGTGGGGACAGGTTGTGGGGACAGGTTGTGTGGACAGGTTGTGAGGACAGGTTGTGGGGACAGGTTGTGGGCGCTCGATCCACCATGAACAGTAGGTAGACCTGCCCATCGAACCCCCATTCGAACCCCTGGCTGAACTCTGCTTCTAAGTTCTAACTCTACTGTGCGCCGCCCGCAGCGTGCCGGAACACAGCGAAACCACCTCGGTGGAATGTGTCAAAACGAAGTTCAAACTCCAAATTCCCTGTCAAATTCTGCCCGATGTAGCAGGAGCGTGGTTAGACAGTTTTTACATCAAGGTTTCTTTACCTAAGCAGTGACCATACCCCGGAAATTCGAGCAATTCACGTAGGCTACTAAGTACTAGTACTACGAGGCCGGACCCCATTTGGGGGGGGGGGAGGGGGCAAACAAGTACACAGCGTCCCTGGTGCGCTGTTCCATTAACTGATCGCACCAGAGCTCAGAAACAATTTTATGAACAAAAACGGCTTTGTCCATACAAAACAAAGTTTAAAACGCTTAATATCTGCAGTCTGATTGATTCATAAAAGTTCATGGGGGGGGGGCATGGCTGTGAGTAACGTAACTTGACTCGAAAATTATTTCCAGATTTCCTGGACTAAGCTCTGGCAGAAGCTTCATACATTGGAAATTATGAAAATGCCACCCCCCCCCAAAAATGAATAAAAAACAACTTTTATTTTTCTACCCTCTAAATTAATAAAATGCCAAATGGAGAACTCTCATTATGAACCGTTAAATCTGCCGTGATACCATTGATTGCCACGATGAGCGTCGTTAGAATTAGGAAACGCAGGTTTCCGTGGTTCAGTTTAGTACACTTGCAAGTAATGTCCCTCAAACTCTAGTGCACATCTTCCCAGCTGAAGGAGGAAAAAAAAACATGATGTCTGCCTCCGAGAAGTGTGGCACTTTTTCTGGCGCCCTTTCCTTGTCTCAGTGAGTTGGTTGATTATTTTCTCTGCAAGCACAGTCTGCCTGCGCAGCCAATGCAACCGCGCTACATCATGAATGCACGCAATCAAACTCGTCAATTCATTTCACCTGGCGCATGCGCGTGGCATTTGGTATGTCTGATATGTACCAATATGGCGGCCATGTAGCCTTGTTATCCTACACCCTGCAACTTCACATCATGTTCACGGCGTCAAGAATCACATTTTCCGGAGGCTTTTGCTGGAATAATACTAACGAACAACCGGTGGATGCACTAGGAACGCCGTCCAAAGCATTTATGTGGTATTTTGACCCTTTTTTAGCGGTTAGAGATCGCCGAGATTTCGCGTAAATAGATATGTTGTGTGGATGCGGTCTGTGTGTCGTACATGTATGCAGTGCGCGCAGGTTCAACTGCATGGGATCCTTACGCACAAGAGTGTTGGATATAAGAGAGGCGCCATTTTTTGTTCCTACCACGCTGTCTGTGTCTTGGAGCAGAGGCATAGCCGGTAGGGGTACAGCTGATCCTCCTGTTGATTCCTCGCTCCTTTTTCTTCTACAGCGGAGCTTGTCACTGATTTCCGTCAACCAGCAAGAGCGGTGAAGCACACAGCCAAGTACGAAGCATTGTTACGTAATACCGCCTACATGTCTGAAGTATGACTTTGATGTTTAATGATGGGGGTTTTACGATCGTGGAGAAGCTGTTTAAAGCCCTGCGAAAGATTCTTCAGCACTGGCGACTTTCCCTTGCCTCTCTGCTTTTTTATATACTTTTGTCGTTACTCACAAACGTTAGCAGGGAGAACTTCCTTGTGCTAGCGACCAATATTACAACCAATTCAAGACAGTACCAGAAACCTCCACATTCACCAGTGACAACAATATGGCCGCTGACAGAACCAAACTGTCGAGGAGTTCAGTCTTGTTACATTGTGACAAGTCAAAAGGATGTGGAGAAAATTTGTAACCTTTCTAGAGAGTGTCGGACGAGAAGTTGCGTGGAATTTAATATTGAAACTTGTCCGTGGAGGACTCCCATGAATTTAGTACATGTGGGAAACAGCAATTCAGATTGCCTATTGAAGGACAAAGATGGATGTGTATCCTGTATGCAGGATCTACTAGACAAGAATCGAAAAGTGAAACAACTTTTTGAAAATTACGCTTCCATTTTAGATCGGTACGATTGTGATAGGAACTACTCAATGTATGGCTGCAAAGATTGTAAGGTATGTTGTGGAGCGACTGAATTATGGAGTCATGGTTTGTACTTGTGAAACAAGTAGCCTGGAGTTTGGTAATGTTTCCAAGGGATTCTGACGGATGAGTCCACATCAAAAATTTTGAAAAGTACCAGTGGACGTTTGGAAATGGATCCATGTTATGTGGTGTCGATTTAAAGCTGGCTAAATTCAGTTTTCTTTCTTCACTTCAGGGAATTCAGAAAAAGAAATCCTACAGACCACTATTGGGTGGAATTCTTAAATGTGCAAAACAAAATTGGTTGGCAACTGAATGCTGTAATGAAAAACAGTTTTCTAATCATCCTGTGGAGGTTTACCAACACTCTGGGTTGCATTGTCTGGTTTTTGTCGTTTTTCCGTTTGTATTGTTTAATTGCTTTTTACTATTGCAGGTTATGAAAGTGTACATGTGTAAACATCACACAAACCTGGAATTCAGAAAGCAGAATGCTGGTTTGAAGGAACATTTTCCCGTCATAAAATTTTCTTTTATTTCCTTTCAAAGCATACCTGTAGGCTATAGACCTTTTTCCTGTGATGTCACAATCGCGATGGACCTATGATGTGTTGTGATGGTAATGAGTGCATAGCGTGATGGTAATCTACCTATTCAAGAAAAACTAGTCAAGCATGCAGCTTTCGCACGTACGCTTGTATGTGGTTGAAGCTGCCCTTAGGAATATATGCGACCACCGTGTCCAAGGCGGTGGACACGTGGTGGTTTTGTTTACATTCAGTCACATGGGTGAAAATTGAAAAAGGCTTATACTTGTACATGTATGCGTTGCATAACAAAACCTGTTGCATGCTGGAAGGAAGAAATCTTGACCCACTGCAAGTTCATTCAACTTTTGTTTTCAGCCTTCATTGTACAGAGCAAATCCTTCGTGTATGAAGTTGGGAAGTGCGTTAGCAATGTAACATGAATTTGGGACAAGGCTTTTAATTTCTAAGACAAGACGTGAATTCGCACCTGTTGCATTCTCCAAAAAAAGTAAATATTTTTAGAAAGTTGACTCTCTGAAGGTGTAATGAGATCTGTTTGAGTTTGGCTAATGAAGGCATGCTAAACACACTTAACGCACATGTAAGTATAGAAACGTTTACACTGATATGGCGTACTTAAACATTATTACACAATAAGTCATGAATAAAACCACAGGATGTCAAAGATTGTAATATCATCTGAACATTGAAATCTACCGGTAACGCTCAATAACAATTGAATTGTAACGCTACAGAAACAAAGGACTCATACAGGTTTATTCAAAATTTGACATTCGTGTCTGATTAAATCAGACTCGCATACACAGAAATTTTAGCGTACATGTATTAACATATTCCATGGAACATTTGTCTGTCATTGAAGGACAGATGCATTCGTACACGTATTTGTATGAATGTTATGCACATGACACCTCTCCGAACTCTTGCATATTTGAAGATAGGAGCATTTATCATGCCTGAATGAATGCCTTCCACCTTAATTGAATGTAATCCATTTTACATTGTTGTCATTTACCTCATTTCCTAGACGCTTTCTCCGTAAGTCCCGGCAGATTATGTAAGCCAATCCACTCAAGCATCCATTAAGAACCGAGTAATAGACTTTCTTTCTGCTGTGTCTCAACCGTATTTTTACCAACCGCCAGTTTGCAAATCATAGTATAGCTGACATGGCAAACCAAAATCTTAAATACCAAATGGTACCGTTTTTATGGGAGAGAATGCCTTTTTATTAATTTAAAGGTGAATTACTATTAATGCTAGGCCACATAACTTAACAATATCCACAGTTAATTTTATGAATTGATGCTTCCAAGATGATTTGTTCATTTTGAAGTTGCCTTTTTTCTTTTTTCAGCAAATATAAACCTGCTCAGATCTTCTTCCTATGAGACATGTAATACCCCAAAATGGTGTCGAGAGAAAGCAAGCTGTGTCACTGACTGTTCATTAATATTCAAATCTCATGACTTCACCAAGCAATCAATCATGTCTCTACCTGATTGGTTGGTTGGTTCAATGGTCCATGGTTGGTTTTACAAGGATAATGATGTGACCACTCCTCATCCCAAAGTTCTCTATTTTCCCATCGCTTGTGTCAGTGAATCATTCATATCACACTTACCTTATTCAGTAACACTAGTCTGAGCACTGACTCAAACACGGACATTGTAGACTCTGAAATCACCCCACATCTCCAAGCAGTGTCTTTCCTTGGTGAACCTTGACACAAGCATTTATCCATGAACATACATACATGGCATCCGAGCTTGGCCAATCAGATAACGGAGGAAGAATCTTCACATCTCATTAAAACCAATGAAATCTCTATGATACATGTATTAGTTACGGTATTGAACTAATGTACAAAAGCCATTAAAGTCTTGCTTCAAAAATCTTGCTGATAAGAATATTGTTAAAGCTTCATTTTATCAGAAAAAATAGGAGTGCATCACATCTTGGGATCTTATCGTGTGTACGTCATGGAGTTCATATTGGACATTCTTGGATGCCTTCAGATTGGCTTCCTGAATTCTTTTAAAACAATACAATTGGGCACAGGATATAAAATCTGAAAGTCACAACATTTTGTGGAATTGACAAGAAACTGTCACTGTCACTGTTTGCATCATACATGAACAATGTGTGTTTAGAATCAACACCTGTTGTGATGTGATTGCCTGTTTATAGCAACTCTGACTTCTAAGCCCAGAGTACACCTGTACCTTGACACAACATGTCTAATGTTCCTCCTACGTAGAGGGAATAACAACCCTTTGCAACCCTGGACTCTTCTACCTACCGGTACATGTACACCCCCCCCTCCCATTCCACTGGCAACTAGGACAGTCCTGAGATGAGAATCATACCGGTAGTAGACCGTAGACGTCAATAAGGTTTGTCTATTTCTGGACGGTAAAGCTTCCCCTTCAAGCCATTGTTTCCACCATCGCTCAAGACAAACACCTTGCTATGTGATTCTTGCCAGCTAGCCAATGCAAATCCATTTTCGTACCGTGTGACGTCACTGCCTGAGATGTGCTTTTACATACATGTATATCGGCATCCCTGGTGTGACATCACGCACATTATTAGCCTAGTGCTATTTATAGTCACTCCACTCGGCTCATTTTGCTGTTGGTTAAATCCCTGGCCTGCTCACAAATACGCACGTACTTCAACACATTAAGGAATAAAATACACTAATAAATTGCACATTTTTTTGCTAATTTTATTTGTTGCATGATGTGGGGGCAAGTGCAGTGGACAAAGCTAAGAGTATAGTCCTGCATTCCTTACACAGTAAGAGACTGGCTGTGTATGTGTAACTTAAGCCATGGCAGTGATTGGCCTAAAAAATACATGCACAGGTACTTACATGTACATTTACTGCTTGTGATTGTGAATCTACTAACATGTATGACCTTTGAATGAAGCCACCAAAAATCACTGAGGAAAAATTGAGACATTATTTTATTACATACTGCAAATCCAAGATTAACTAATGTTTAATGTTCATTTAAAGTTAGTTAAATTTTTTTAGTTAGTTTTAGTTAGATTGTTATTTTTTTTTAGTTTTTAGACTTTTAGTTAAATTGCTTTTCTTTTACATGTTATGTATTTGTTTTTGGTATTTGGTGTAAAAGGAGAAATTGGTGATCTGGCCAGGTTTTTTGAAATATCCTTCCAAATACATGTATTTAGTGTAATTGCTAAATAACGGTATTTAGTATAAAATATATGACAAAAATGTGCATTGAAATTGTAAGTTAGGCATGAATTTCTAAATGTGAAGATAGCGTATTTTATTTTTTCTGTCCAGTGCTTTTTTCTGATCAAATTAGCCAATGTATAACCTTTGACCTTTTGTAAGAATTACCATGTGAGGATAACTTCCAAATGTCTACTCATGACATTGCAGCATTTATACTCCAAATTCTCTTGAATAAGAGGCAAAGATTGAGGGCAACATCAATTTTTTCATTTTAGTGGCATGGGCATCACTGACTGGTTGTCATCTCTAGTAATGCAGCCTACATATTCTAAGCTGTTTTTGATACCAAATTTGCAGAGTGAGCAGTGATTAAATGTGATTGGGTGAAGCCAAGCACGTTTCTCTCTGAACTGTGAATGCTGTGCCCTATCCCGCTGGTTATTTGTAGATCCTGGATCATTCGTCATTGTCACTCATTGTCACACTGTCCTGGACACTAATGGACAATCACATGGTGTAACTGATTGCACCTTTGTTCCTGGACTACTGTACCTTCTGCCAAGTCTGTCATTATGGTCATCCTAGTCACTTTTTGATAAGTGTTCTAGCTTTAGTCATCCTCTTAAAAATAGTTCAGCCAAGCAAACTATCGTAAGGTTATAAGTGTATACATCTTTTAGCTCAAATTATAACATACATGTACATGCAGTTTACATGTAATTTGGGAAGATTTTATTTAACTTTTTTGATACTGGTATATCATGAATGCATATTAACTTTCACATTCATTGTTGGGACAACTGGATATAAAATTAGGTACCAGACATCAAAACTCAACGAATTTATGCAAGAAGAGTGATTCACATGTAACTGTCAGAGTTTAGAAATATCAATGCCCATATACAGATGATACATGTACAGATCAGAAGAGCGCCCATAAACAGAATACATGTAGATATTACGTGTACTTTCACATTGTATATGTGCATGTATGAAATATCTGAAATCTCAGATTTTTTTTTCAGTTATGTAAATTTAGACTTAGATGTTGTGAGATGAAGCGAGGAAAAGGCAGGCAGTAGAAAACATAAAAAGCATGAACACTGTTGCTTGTTGATTGAAAGAATCGTGGAAAGCGGTGGAAACAGAAGATTTATTTGCTTGAATTTTTTAATCAGTGGAGTTTCATGGAGTAAGTCTTGACAAATTTTAATAGCGGAGTTTGTAAAATGTTATGTGTATGTGCAACAATAATTCCAGATGT